TCTCTTTATTATAAATAGTATAATTTTACTCCGCTAAGGTTAGCTTATAGGAGTAGAACGCTACTAGTTACTTCTACCCGTTTACCTCCTAAGAGAGCGTTCCTCTAAGTGCTAAGCCGCTATAGTCCGCTTCGACTAATATAAACTAGTTAAAGTCCTACTAAAGTAATACTAGGGCTTAAAAGAATAGGTCTTTAAGCGTATAGAACGCTCTTTCTTATATAGGCCCTTAGTAAAAAGCGGTCTGCTTCCCGGTAATCTCGTTTAAGGGTATTATAATATAAAAGAAGCCCTTAATAAATATCCTATAATAGTTCGCGAACCTAAGGAAGCTCTATATACTTATTTACGTAGTTAAGGTAGCTTAGTCTTAAATCGCTTAGATCTTTATAAGATCCGCCTATATACCTATGCCTATATAGATAATAAAGCCTAGGTACTTAACCCTCTTAACCTTAAATTTATACTTATTTAGGTCGAGGTAAAGCTTATAAAGTTAAAGGCGCTTTAAGACCCTCTATACTTTCTATATATAGTCCTTATAAGAGCCGCTTATATAGATAAGGATATTATCTATATATATAAAGGCGAACTTATTAAGGAAGTCTTAAAGTATATTATTAATATAACGCTAAAAGGTAGCGGGCGCTCTTAAAAAGCTAAAGGGCGTTATAAGCTACTTAAATAAGCTATAGTGCCTATAGAACGCTATCTTTTACTTATTACCCTTTAAGATCTATACCTTATAAAACGCTTATTTTATATCTAGCTTTATAAACTACTTTACCTTTAAGAGGTTATAGAGCGTATTTAAGATTAAGGGTAAAGGGTAGCGGTCTAGCCTTATAATTATATTTAGAGCCCTATAGTTATAGTAGAACTATATCCCGCCCTTTAATTTATATATAAATAAGACTAGCGCTCTTACTTTAAAGCTACTTACTTAAATAAAACCCTTATTTAAGAGGTTATTTAGCGTCTTCTTAAGTACTAGTAGCTCTATATATAATATACTATATAGCGGTTTAAATAGTATAAGTAGCTCCTACCCTTTTTTATCGGTATAGAGTACGATCTTATAGTTTACCCTTAGCTTATATAAGTTAAGCTTATTTACTTTCTAGGACTTAAATAGTAGTAGGAGGTCGTAAAAGCGCTCTAGTATCTACTACTATAGCTTAAAGGGCGACTTTAGCTTTTTTACCTAGAGGGCCTTATCGATATCCGCTAGGCTAACTATATAGACCGCTATATTAGCCGCTACCTAGCCTTCCTCCTACTTTAACTATCGTATAGTTCCTATAAAAATAGAGGTAAGGACTTCTTATACTAAGTATAAAGCTTATACGCTTAGTCCTATACCTATAAAACTATCGTTATAGTAGACCTACCGTTATATAGGCTTAAACTATAGCTTCTTTTAATATAAAACTAAGTATAACTTTATATATAATAACTAGGGTTTCCTAAGGATTAAGGGAAACTTTAGTTAAGGGATTATATAGGCTATAATAAGCTTACGGTAACTATTAACCTCTATAGCTAGCTACGTAATACCCTTAATTACTATACCCTTTATCGCGCTTAAGGCGCCCTTTACTCGCCTTAAGGTAATCTTTTCTACTAGTACTTATATCTCTTATATAAGCGCTTTATCTATTATAGCGTAGTATTAATAGCCCTTATCTATAAGGGCAGCGATAGGTAAGGAGTTATTAACTATAACTTATATTAAAGTAAGCTCCTTTTTTATATAGGCGGATAATTCCTCCTTCTTCTTTACTAGTACTAGTAATTAGGGCTCTAGAGCCTATCTTTACTCTAGAGCTACTCTTTTTCCTCTAGGCCTAAAGGAGCGGAGTCCTCTTTATTATTTAAGGTAAAGAGCGGTTCTATCTTCGCTACTTAAACTACTATAGGCCGCTTAGCTAAAAGGAAGGGGTATTTTAATATAAAGTATATAAACGCGCTATAATATAAGTAGCGGCTATTAGCCTTCCTTTTCCTAATTTCCTCGCTTATTACTTACTTCGCCCGCTACTTAGAGAGCGGGATAGTATAAAGGGTATTTAATAACGACTTCCTACCGCGTTTAGCTCGGTTTATATAAGTAGCTAATATTAAGGTATCTTTATTAGTATCGATAGTTAGCTATTCTTCTTATAAAGGGGCGGTAATCCTATTACCGCTATATAGCGTACGCTTATAAAGCTTCTAAAAACATAGTATCTACTTATAGCCCTACGCTACCTTTATTAACCGGCTTATATACTTACTATAGTTAGTAGGTATAATTATAGGGATAAGTAGCTCTTATAAGGCTAGCGTAATTAAGTTCTATAACTATATAAGCTTCGCGCTATCTTCCTATACCGTAGTTCCCGCCGCCTATAAGAGTATCTCTTTAAAGTTAAAGAGGAATTTACTAAAGGTCTACCTATCCCTTTACTTAAGGGTCTATAGCCTATCCTACGCTTTCTCCCGCTCTTATACGTTACCGAATATATATATAAGGTATTAAAAGAAGTCCTATAGGTCGCGTTTACCTCTAAGGCCGCCCTTATCTTAGAATCTAGAGATCCGCTATATCTAGGGCTCTAGTAGCGTATAGAGGAGCGAATACTACGCTTTATTATAATAGCCGTTTAGGCCCTATTTCTTATCTATTATAAAATTCGTCTATAGCCGGCTAAGGAAGAAGTAAAAGGACTTAGGCTTACTATCCTAAGTTAGTTAAGGAAGCGGCTTCTATATTAGTAGTACCGCCGCCGTAACCGGTATTGCTAAGGTTATAGGGGTTAGCGCTAGTCTCGTAGACGGCTCCCTTAATATAGCGAGAACCTCGTTCTTCTCGCTAGCCGTCGCGCTTTTAATCGCTTCTAGGATAGCTACGATACTTCCTATCCGCTTAGGGGGTAGCGGGGTGCTCCCTTAAGGGAGCGGTACCCTTTTTAAGGAGATATCTATTAGATCTATTAGTTAATAGCTTATACTATTATAGAGTAAGTAAAGGTATATATATAGGTACTATCCGTAGGATAATATTAATAAGCTATATAGAGCTCTTTTATACGCGGCTAGCCCGCCCCTATATATACGGGATCCGGCCCTCTATATATAACTATATAGCTTAAGCTATAGCCTAAGCTTATTACTTATAATAGTTAAAGACTCTTATATAATATAGGTCTTACTTATTTACTATTATAAGAAAATCCTATTTAATTCTTATATTATTAAGTATATTAACCTTAAGGTCTTATAAATCTATAATAATTTAGTTAAGCTATTCTACCTAAGTTTTTTAGTCTTATATATCCCTTTTATTAATAAAAGTTATATATTTCTTATAAATTAGCTTTTTCTCCTTTACGTTTAAAAGTAAGGCTTACTTCTTTAATTCCTTAATTTTCTCTTTTAGGCTATTATATATTAAGGTTACCTTTTAAAGCCCTTTATTAATTGTTTTCTTAATTAATTCTTTAAGTATAATTAAGGCTTTTTACTAAACCTTATAGTAATTAAATTATAGTTAGAGCCTTTTCTTAAGGTTATAAAAAGAGGCCTTTATATCTTAGTATTATTTATTATAGCTTATTCGCCTTATAAAGAATATAGCCTTAGCTTTATCTTCTTATTAAAAAGGTCTCCCTTTAAGATTTATAATAACTACTCTTAGTCTAGCTATTAAGGCTATTTAAGCTCCTTTATACTATCTAGGTTAATATATTCTTAAATCTTATAAGTCTAGGCCTATAATTTAATCCCTTTAATCTATAAGGTCTAATTAAGACTTTCTTTTAGTCTTATAATATAATTATCCCTTCTTACTTCCTTTAATACTATCTTAGAAAAATAAAGGTTCTAGCTAAATAAGTAATATCCTTCTTTAAGGGATATATAATTTATATATTTCTAGTAGTACCCCTTAGTATAACTAAGTTCCTTACTTTAATACTATAATTTAAGCGTTATAATAGCGTTAATAGCTTATAAATAGCTTTAAAGGTAATATTAGTAGGTAAAAGATAATCTAATTATATAGACCGGGCTTATAACTCTTAAGTAGAGGCTTAAGAGTATAGTAAAAGAAATAGGGGTATAGAAAGGTAAATTTAGTAATATATATCTTAGTCTATCTATTAAGATAAGAGAGGGGCTTATATAGGTATAGTGACTATATATAGCTAGCTAAAAGAGGGCATTAAGATATTCCTATACCTAAGTTAGGTCTATATAATGTCCTTAGGCTAGGGGAGTCATGTTGGTTAGGCAGGCTTCCTTGTGCATGACTATTAGGTCCACTGGGCATGACTGTGGCCTCTTATGCCCACTCTCCTCAACAGCTCTATTAGCAGGCTGCGATCATTTTATGTCAGATTGAGGTTCCCTAGCTCCGATTTGCGACGATGGCGACAGATGCGTCAAGAGCGATGGCGAAGCATTGTATACGCTAGACTCACCTGGCGTGCTGGAGTTCAGTCGGCATGATTAGCTCGCTGCAAGGGCAGGCTGCTTAGCCTAGGACCTCGACTGGTCGGCATCACCCGTAAAGTTGATCACGTCGCCGCCACGCTTTTGGGCAGCCCTGGGTATCGATGGCGCCCGAGTTTGGAAACATAGATAGCTATAACATTCCATATACGCTTGCCTTTCGCCCCGCTTCCAATGCCGCCCTCGACATGTGCAGTATTTTACAGCATCGTCATCCGAATGTGACGAACAAGGTAATCATTTCCGTCAAGAAACAGCACAGCAAACATATCAAGGCGGCAGCTCGCTTCCGCCAGAGCCTTGCGAGTACGCAAGACGAAACACCTCGGTCTTCTCTTGGCTTTACCCCACACACATCTCTGACTCTCCTCTTGACAAAGCCAGCTTGGCGTCGACCATTATTTCCATTTCCACTCATATGCGCATCCTTCCCAGTCACGCTACCATCGGACAATGAATCTCCAGCACCATCGCAACTCCCCCAGCGCCGTGTCACCCCGGCCGGCCTACTTGGCCGCTTCCAAGTGCCACTTGAAGACCTTTCGGAAAACCTCCTTGGCGTCGCCCTCGAGCACATCGCCGTGGCAAGGGATAATGGTGGCAAAGTCCCACGTGTCGATGAGCTTGATGCTGTCGTTGAACGAGGCGCGGTCGCGGGCCGCCAGGTACCAGTTGAAGCGCCTCATCCACTTTGCGTCGCCCGCTGTGCTCTGCACGCCATGAAACAGCGAATCGGCGATGCCGGCCGCCTTCTTGTCCTCGTCGGATGCCCTGCTGTACTGCTCCGTGGCCGGTAGGTTGAACATGAGGTCGGCCTCGATCAGTACCCGCTCCGGCTTGTACAGGAAGACGAGCTCGAGGTTGGTGTGGCCGTCGACGTACTCGTAGGCAAAGTCGGCGTCAAAATCGGCCCCGAGGCGCACCTGCCGCTTGTTCTCCTTGGTGAAGACGACGTCGAACTTGTCCTGGCCAATCTTGGGGTCGCCGCGCTGCTTCTCGCGCTTCTCGGCCAGTCCCTCGGGGCCGATGAGCTTAGCCGAGGGGTACTGCTTGGCCCACTCGGACACGAAGATGTGGTGTTCGATGTCGGGGGCAACAATGTAGCCAACGTTGCCGCCCATTTCAGCCACCTTGGCCTGCGTGGCCGCGGTGAGTGCCACGGGCGAAAAGATGGCGAGGGCTCCCGAGCTCAGCTTGACTGCCGCGCGCCACCCCGGTTAGCCAGCCAGAGACGAGAGGGGTGGGCTTCAACAACCATACCCAAGGTCCCGCGGCCGCCAATCCTAATCTTGCCGAAGCGAGAAAAGGGCAAGGAAAAGGTGGCAATGTTGGGCGTGACATTGCGCGTGACCATGAGGTCGTCCGGTTTCGAGGGGATGAGCTCGGCAGACATGGCGGCGGCGGCGGCTGAGGCTCCAAAGAATGAGCTCGAGGCGCGTCTGCTGCTGTAGCAGGTGCCGGCAACGAAATGCGCCGGGCGAAGTGGCAATAGCGACGGTCTTTGGCCCATCAACGAGGCGCTCGCGTGGGCGATACAACGGCGAGTACCGATGACGCCAAAACGTCGTCTGGGGGATCAAGCGGCTCTCGATGGGCTGTCTCCGGACTCTCTGCAAAGGGCTTGGGCAAAAATGGGGATTGGCCTTGATTCAACAGACGCGTGGGAGGTTGTAGCCGGCCTGCCTGTCGCTTCAAAGTTTAAAAGGGCCGCTTCGGGTAGCGCGGATCCTTGCCGTGCTTGCCACCAAGAGTCATGACATCAGCAGCAAGAAACCCGACTTCGGACCAGTGGGTCCACTCGGTGAGCCGATGGCTGCCGAGGCTCGGGGATCCGCACACCGGGCCTCACCTGCAGAGCCGGATACATCTGCTGCTCCTTTTTGCCTCTTATTCCACCAAGCTGCTTTATTCCACTTTTTTTTCCCCTGTCTCACCAACTATACTAATATCTCGCCAGCCGTCAAGGACCAACAAAGCCACCTCCTACATATCCAACATGCGTCGTTCAACCGAACTCATTCCTACTTCCACCACGGCCATCGCTCCAGAGCCCACGACGCCCAAATATCCGTCGTCTGCACCAGCACCAGGGCCCACGCCTCGCACCCCTTGTCCCACGCCACCCCCGGATCCACCCCCGGCACCGGCCACCACTGCACATCCCCATGCAGCTGCTTGATCAGATGCCGCCGCGTCTGCCCGTTGGCCTCGATCCAAATGTCCCTTTCCCACCGGCACGAGAGGTATGCGTGCACCGAGAGGAGAATGGCCACGTGCCTCACCGCGCGCAGCAGGCCCCTGGTCCGAAACGCCTTCTCCGGCCGAGCTGCTGGCTGCCACTTTTCCCAGTCGATGCTCTTTAGCAGTGGTAGCGACCGTAACGAGCGTCGGTTCTTGTACACGATCCTGGCTGGGGCCGTCCATGTCTGGACAAGGATAAAAGCGAGGAAGAGGGCAATGTCCCTCCATGCCAAGCACTGCTCCTTTAGCAAACCGTGAGCCTGCTCAAAGCCAGCCTCATGTCGAGGCCCGTTAAACCCACCAAAGCCAGAGACTGGGCTGGCGGGCATGTGTTCCGGGCTGGCCGCCAGGTTTCCGAGCTCTCGGGACAGGTCCATTGGCTGGAACAGCAGCATCATAGATTCGCGTTGACATTGTGGTCGGTGAAGCCGCTCTTCTTGAGCCCTGACATCTTCCAAGTCTTGTCGCAGCTCTTCCACCGTAAGCTGTTGTTGCGTCAGCCTCTTCTCTGCTTCTTTGACCTGTTGCCGCAAGTCCTGCGTCATTTGCTGCTCCTTCTCTGCCTTTTGCTTCCAGTCTATCGTCTCGTCGCTGCTTTCAAGGTCGCTCGGCGCCTCAGCTGCGACTGTTTCGAGTTGAGGGGACTGCGACCCTGGCAGTGCGTCTTCGCTGGGATCTGAATCTGTGCTACACTCTGGCGACATGCGGCCATCAAATACCCCGAGCATGTCTTCTGTTCCCCCTGGCTTGGCCTCGAGCCAGAGCGTCGGCTCGCTCCGCTCCAACGGTGTCGCCGTCCGCGGTCCCAGGGTCTCGTCTCGTCGCTCTGCCTCCAGAACTGAGCCAGAACGCAGACTAGTCCATCTGTGTGACCTGTCGATCTCACCTTCGCTCGTTGTTAAAGTCTCATGCTCACGCTTGAGCGAGCGCTCCTTCTCCAACTGCATCTTTAAGTGCTCATTCTCCCGCTGCAGCTGCAGCATTCGAGAATGCAGATTGGTATTAGCTTTTATCAAATCGCACATCATTCCCTGCTCCTGTTCAGAGTCCGGTCGCCTCCTATCATCGTACTCCGGCCCGTCGTCCTGGGCTTCGTACGTTTGCGTTGAGCATTGGCCAACTAGAATGGCAAACACCTGCTTGATTTGCTCCAAAACTCCAAGTTGATCTTGGTGGGACTTGGCCAGCATGGTGCCTTGCATCTGGCAGACCTCGCTTTGGCAGCTTGGTTCTGCTGCTGCGGTTGCGGTGCTGGCGGTCCCGGCTCGACACGACTCGATGGCTTTTTTGGCTGACCGGCAGATTCCGATGAGCTCTGCTAAGCCTCCGGCCCTTGATTCTTGCAGAACGCCCGCCTCTTGGAGGATTTTGCCTTGCTGGATACACATATCCAAGCTCTTGCGGCCTCTAGCGAAGAGATCAAGTCCATCGTCGTCTCCACACGCATTTTCCATGGCCACTGATTCACACTCAGACTCGGCACGGATGCTCTCGTTCCCCGCGTCTGCGCAGGATCTGCTCAAGTCAGAGATCTCGCTTGTGGTTTCGTCGTACAGGTCGCTCGCGTGTGGGTTACAGTGCCCGCGGGGGTTTTCCGGACGACTTTCCGTCCGCAGGGTCGGTGTCTATGCTGAGGCGTGATTAGGCGTCGCAGTTTGGTCTTCTCGGGCAATACAGGAGGTCTGGCGATGACGAGTAGAGGTGAATAGGAAAAGAGCGAAGGCGAGGCTTGGAAGAAGCGCCCTTGCTGTGGCGAAGCTTCGGTATGATGGCCAAGCATCCGTCAAAGCCACAAAGCAAGCGCTTGAGTCCTGATCGCAGCTTGAGGTGGCAACTACGGCCTCCCGAGTCAGCGGGATGGCGCGGGATCAACAAGTCCTTTCTTGAAGACCAGTCTTTCTTTGTGCTTTGGATATGTTCACGGTATATGCCCAAGCACGAAGCACACGCTCGCAGCTGCAGAACCACAATACGGTGCGTGCTACGAACCACACAAGCGAGAATTTACAGATTGGGATAGTCAAACAAATACCACGGCCTCCCCTTGTGCCGCATCGTGGACAAAGGGGCCCGAAGCGAGCTCGGTTTCCAACCAGTCAGCAGCGATCGGGTGGCCTTTATTCTTCGTAGGTCGTCGACAAATGTCTGCCACCGGTTCATACAAGTCGTCTCTCGGAGATTGGTATCATAAAATCCAGTACAAGTCCTCGAGCAAATGCATTGCTCCAAGCTGGCAGTTAGCTGTACCAGCCCCGAGCTCCCGGGCCGGAGCTGGCCGCTTCTCGCCTGTGTTCAATCATGGGCTCCGTTAAGTTGAAGACTTCAATGATCTCGCGCCAAGTCTGCATATCCATGGATAAAATGGCCTGGTGTTTAGACGCGCCATGACGGGCGGCGTCCTCGCCACCGGCTTCTCGATCCACCGGCGCTGCAAAAAGCGTCAGTCGGGTTAAGGAGAGGCCAGCGAGCAGTTCTGCACGGCTGAGAGAGGGTAGACCACTTACCTAGAGCTGGGAGATCGAATTCGTCAAAGTCAATCTCTATCCTCCCATCTCGGATGAGGAAGCTGACGTAGAACATGTTTTCGACAGTCTGGGCAAATGACTTTGGGTTGACGACGAATCGCATAAGATCGATGCCTCCCGTGCTGCGGAGCCCGTACTGATGCATGACTCTTGTCTTTTCTTCGTCGTCCATGTCGTCCTCCATCAGCTCGGCGACCTGCTCTTGTGTCTCCACCTGGATCTTGTGCAACTGCTGCAGAATCTTGCCGCAGATTGCTGTCAAGTCGTTTTCCCTCTTGGCAAGGTCATCGACGTTGAGCACCTCGGGCCTCGTCTCAGTCAGGTTGTTTGGGCGAAACGGGGCGCTTCGCTTGGTGATCTTGCGCGCCTTCTTCTCCACGGACAGGGGGCCAAGGAGGAACCCAGGCAGGGCGGGTCGCCTTATATGTGGCAGACAGGCGAACCGGCCGAGGTGCGACCAGTTCATCATGTCTCCCTCGTCGCCAATGTCGTCGTCGTAGTCATCGCCGCCGCCGCCACGACTTGACCTTCGGCGTTGTCTCTGGGTGCTGGAGAGCTCTGGCGCGTCGTCGTCTACGATTCCGGCACCTTGCCTCATGTAGGTGATGCACTTTGACACGAATTCGTCGGTGTCTATGCCTTGCGACAGGCTGCCCTGCATAAGGCGCAGTGTCTTGCGGTACGATAGGTCTGTGGTGCTGACCAGCAAGCGTGAGTCGATGGTGGCTTCGGTTGTCTGTCGCAGCTTCTTGGACAGCGCGTCTGCTTTAAGAATCGTCTCATGCAAGCCCTTGGAGTCATTGTTGTTCAGGTATTCGTCCCCGTTCTCTGTAATGTCACGCAGGAGGTCCCTGTAGCCCTTTTGCACCGTCCGACGCTCCTCCACAGGCTGGTCGGGATCGAAGACGTCTTCCTCGTCTTGGTCACTGTCTCCATCGGGGAGGGACTGTCTTTGTCGCTGGTTTGACTGCCCGTTGGCGGTGCTTGCGCGCTTCCTCTTGGAGCCAGAGATGGGACGTGCTTCGGAGCGTTGCCTCATGGCGAGGTTTGGCTGCGCCGGCGATGGCGATGGCGATGGCGATGGCGATGGCGACGGGGATTGGTCTTGTCGGTCGGAGGAGCCTTGGACGCGTGTCGGCATCGCGGCCTGGCGTTCCGGACTCGCGCTTTGGTTTCTGTTTCGATGTGTGCACGAGGACGAGGCGTGCACGCATTTGCGGGCGAATGAATTGTCTTTAGCCGCCAAGGTGATACTGAGCGAACTGTCTTGACTTGCATACGAACAATCCAGCCAACCAAGACGCGTTAGCGCGCACGCGACCTGTGGGCACTTTCGGGCGCCGCGTCTAGTTAGGAATACAATGTCTAGGTACTCCGTACGTACAGTACCCATGGCGCCATGTATCTCAATAGCTTAGTAATGCAATAGCTTACCTAATACCGAGCTGTAGGATCAAAACCCCTACCCCAGACCTACCCTAGAGGCTCGAATGGGCATTCAATATCAGGTCTAGCTTGCATCCAGACTTTCCTTCGAGACAGACCAAGTCCCAGAGCATGGCAGCTGATAATGGCTGATCACTCGTTTCAGCTCTTGGCTGATGCCCCGACGGTGAATTCGGAGCCGTGTGCATGATCAGATGGGGTCGCCAAGACGTCATATCAGCTGCTCCCGAACAACTGTGTCCGAGAGCGCTGACTGGACTCGGCTTCTCCTCTCGGCTAGGTTCCATGGGATGACTTTACAAGTTATCTGCCGCCAGCGTTACAAATTAGACGCGGTCTTGTCGGTAGGCGAGGCAGATGAGCAAGGCGAGGCAGAAACAGGTCCGCTATTATCCAAGCACCCAAGTACGAAATAGCCAATCAGTCGATGGAAGGTCTCTGCCACCCGGCCAGCCAGCACACACACGCTCATCTGCGCCCTGGTCTCAGCGTGCATAGGACCGAGGGACCCTGCATTGGCCTAGCACACACGGAGCGAGAATGTAGGACGATGTAGGACGTCAGCACTCATCAGCGTAGGGTTACGCGGACCTGAGTGGCTTGCCAAGAGGAGCAAGTCTCCCTTTGCTCGTATAGGCATATTACTCTACTTGAGACTGAACCCTTGCATCCACTGCGTGCGCCCTGTCCTCCAAGGAGAAGCAAGAAAAACAAAGAGCAAGGGAAGGACGAGAAAGATGGTGGCGTCGGGTTGCGAGGCCCCCCGTCGTGTGGTGAGTGAGCTCCGTTGGTGCGCGAACCAGACCTCTGCCCTGGACAAAGAAAGACGGCTTCCTTTCCACCTCTCGAGGCCGGCAGTACGGTACAGCATGAGACTGAGCTTGGGGAGAGTACTATCTCGTTGCACTCTTGGATTGTGATATGGTGTAGGTGCTTTGGGCAGGTGAATGCGGCGAGATTTGGCCTGTGAGGTGCATGAACAAGAAGCGGCCTGTCATGCACGCCTTCGCACAGCATCGGGGACCCATCCGGATGGATGGAGCACAATCAAACACGTCGGGTCCGGTATCCGCGTCCCGCGAGGAGAGCCCCCTTCGATGCATGTGAGACTTGGCCGGTCCCAGGTCGATGGCCAAAGGTCGACTGTTTTCTCCATATTTCGTCACCGACGTCTCGACTCGGGCGACTGCCCCACTGGACGGTTGATGCATTTACCGGCTCTCTGCAACATTGTGCGTAGTCGAGAGACGAGGTCGACCTCGCGGAGCAGAAGCCACGGCAGCCCGCCCCGCGTTCCCCCACTCCATCAAACACGGTGGGTGCTGTGCTGTACTGTGCTGTACGGTGCTGGAAAGTCCAGCTAGGCACAGTGGCGCCGTGTCAGGGCCTTGTACCCCTCCCCGCCCAAGTCGCGAGTGTGGGCCGAAGGTGCACCAATCGAGTACTGCACACGTACAGTACGGCCTCGTCCAGGCACACCGTAAGAGGCGCAATGTTGCCAGCTGACGAGGGCCTTGGTCCAGCAAGATAGGCTTTAGACTCAGTAGTCTGCAGTGTGCGGCGGTAGGCGCAAGCGATAGCGTCTGGCGGCCGTGTTTTTGACGCAAAGCACTTCTTGGCATCCGTGGAGACGAAATGAGGCGGCCTCCGGAGCAGCTTGCACAGTAAGGGCACTGTGCGCTGTAGCGGGCTTTGCTTTAGGCACCTCACTGAAGGAACTTTAAATCCACCACGGCGATCCTTTGCGGTAGCCATTTTGCCCCGCACGCCGTCGCGTGAATCGTGATTCTGGCCCAGACTTGCCGCCCACTTAAGTACCTTTTAGGCCAGACGCTGCTAGCCCGGAACCTCTGCGTGCTAACAATAGATGAGCCGTCTCGTCCCGACTTTCTTCTGCTTTGCCTTCCTCGCTTTTCCTCTCGTCTCACTCGCGCTCAGCAGAGGCTATTCGGACAAAGTGAAACATTGCCGGCGCCATTCGGGACTATCCTGTGCTCTGCCTGCTTTGTACCGTCGGTCAATGAAAATCACGCAGTTGACGGCCCCCGTGGTCTCCAACCTCGCCAAGCACGCCGGGCTGCCATCATGGTGCAATGTACTGTACAACCAAAAACAAGGCACCGTACTTGGTATCGAGCAGCAGTACCTGGCAGTGCCGCAGTAGTAGCGGCGTGTGTCTGTCAAGTCACGGCAACAAGGCAACGTCCGTCCTCCACCCCCTCTCTCTTGGCCCCCACCACGCACGCACGGCTATAAGCTTGCTGCCGCCCGTGACTCCATGAGCAGCTCACGCGTGTGTCTTCTGTACAGAATGTATGTGTGTCTGTTTGTTGATGTCTGATCTCCTCCATTACACACTTGTTCATGCCTCGCGTGATTCTCGGCCGCCCCCCTCACACACCTCCGGCGCGAGGGCCTCATATCCGTGTAACTGAACTCTTGACCTGGGCCTGTCCTTGTCCGTCACTGCGTCCTGCATCACCGTCAACGCTGGTCATCGGCCACCTCACCTTCACTTGGCCCTCTTTTTCCGGCACTTGACACAGCACCTCCCGTCTCTCCCGCCCGCGGTCCGTCCGATAACAATACTTTGTCAGACACGTCCGCTGTCACATCTCCCGGCCTCCCGTTTCCTTGCCGTCTTGCATGACGGCCGGGAGAATATAGGCCCCTCTTTAAGGCTCCGCATCCACAAACATCATCTCATCTTATAAGCCCTCGCTTCTCCGTGTCCGAGCCGGCTCCCAAGCCACATCTACGCAAACACACGCATAAGCCTCCCCCCTTCTCGGCACAAGCCTCTGCCCTGGCCTCCCGTCGACGTAACGCGAGCCCAAGGCAGCTATTACAAGTACCCGGGACACCGATGCTCGGGATAGCCCCAGTTCCCGCTTGCTCGCCTCAAAGTCGTGATCCGGAAAACGCCTCCGTCTGCCCATCATGACGGGAGCCGTGTCTACGCCTCGCTACGGCGCCGACGACTTTGAAACAGCATCGATACGCTCTGCTGCTCCCTCTTACGGTATGAATCACTCTCTGTCCGGACCATGCCGTGCCGCCCAGGACGGGTCGGACTCAGGGGCCGGATATGACAAGCAGCATCGAGGAATCCTTGCAAGGCAGAGCTGACCCATCTGTAGTATCCGAGGCTCCGTCCTACCACTCGGCCGTCCAATACCTCGAAGCCGCACCCCCATACGCTCCTCGAGCAAACACATCTCCCGAATCGAGCCCGCCGCGGCACCAGACATCGACCCCCAGGCCCCAGACAATCGGCCTCCCCCCGATCCCGCCCTTGAACCCCCAGAGTATCGTGACCCTTCACAACTTCCGCATCCCCACGTGGTCCGCAAACAACGCTCCTGCTGCCCGCCACTACCGCAATGTGGCCGAGCGGCGCATGACGGACAACAGGTATACGGCCAACGACCTCTCAAAGCGCCCCTCACCCATCGAGCCGCCATTGGTGATTCGTGACGGCAGCATGCCTCCTCTCCGGCCACTCGAGGATCCATACCTCGTGGGCGAAGTGGCTGCCAGGCAAGCCCGCCGCGAGAGGCTGGCCCGCGAGTCGGGTGACGATATTCTTATACGAGAGGACAGGCAGTGGGACTGGCTGCTAGGTCAGTTTCTTTCCAGGAAACCATCCAGGGCGCGATGCTGACTGTCTCATACCAGCTCACATGAAGGACTCCGAAGAGCGACAGAGGAGCGGGACCAGACCCCGCCGCGACCCCGACGCTGGCCCGCGTAAGAAGCTGCTGCACCGTCTCGGGGGCCGGCTGCTCCCCTAAGTCGCCGTCGTCAAGGCCGACATCATCTTTGCATATCCCCTCTTGCAGGGGTAACTTTGGGCTAGCAGACATAACCCCCCCCCCCCACCTTGACGCGGGTTTGAACGAGATCACGAACGCATATGATGGCGCAAAATTGTAGCATTGACCTCTTTCACGGTGCATTCATCGCGGGGACCTAGTTGGAGCCACTGTCGCACCCGTTCCCGTGGCTCACACCCAAGGCGCGGCTTCTAGGTAGCGTGTAACTGACCCTTCTATATTCTCTCGCCTCTCGTCGACGATGGCCTGATCTTGGCATACATGGCGTTGCTATCGACAGCTCCGCCAATAATATAAAGCCATTTCGGATAAAGTATCGAGGCATCGCTGAAGATGGACACTCGCCTGGGTGTTTGCGGACAAGTGACATCTGTTGTATCGACAATGACTTGATATCTGTGACACGCACGCGAGTTCTACCCGACGTCCTAAATATACATATCCGATAACGCCCGTGTCCCATGATGCAGCTGTTAAGACATTTGCCATGGCCATCCGACGACGGCTCGACGATTTTGCGCGTGTATAATACGCGACACCCGACAGTGGGTTATCAGATTGCTCTTCTAAAGTTCAGCCCTTACTTTTCGAGTTGAGGAGGAGGGCGACAATAAGGCTACACGATGGTTAGCTTTCTCGGTCGGACACAGCTGGTACTCTAACAAGACGCACCCGTAGAGTCCCAGCACTTCGCCGAAAATCAGAATAAGGACCATGCCGACAAAGATCCTAGACTGCTGCATAAAAGCACGGACGCCAGTGTCACCGACAATGCCGATGCAGTAGCCTGCCGCAAGACCCGTCATGCCGACCGCCGTTCCACACGCGAGATGCATGAATCCCCTGACACGGTGTTAAGAGAGTGTGCGCCGCGCTCAAACGTTTGGGCCACGTACGAGAACAGCGAGTAGCTTTCGTTGCCCGGCGGGGACAGATCCTGGGCGATGAGGACCGAGATGACGAGCGAGTAGACGGCGATGATGCCGGACATGACGACGGGGATCAGGCACTGTTCTAGGGGTCAGTGGGCGCCTGTTGTGTTTGTCGCATCTGCGCGTTACCTTCATGATGAGGTCCGGCCGGAAGGTGCCCACGCCCGCAATGCCGATGCCGGATTTCGCGGTGCCGTAGGCGGCGCCGATGGCTGTATGCGTCTCGCTTAGAACTCGGAGTCGGCCGCAAGATGTGACGATGCACGCCGTCGAGAGGCAACGAGGAACTCACATCCGAAAACCATGGCGGCCGCAATGCCGGCCTGCCAGCCAGTGACGCCGTCAGCACTCTCGCGTCCTGGTCAGCCGACGATGGATGCTGCACTTACCATGCCGACAAAGGGGGCGAACTTGGGAGATAGCTCTGACTCCATATTGAGCGGGGGCGACGGCTGTTGGCGGAGGGAGGGCAACAGCGGCAACGCAGACTGTTGAGGTTGACGACGTAGCTCGCGAGCCTGGTGCCAGGGCGGCCAATCATGCGGCCGCTGAGTCTCCTCGCCCAGTCACGTGACTTGGCGCTCCCTCTCTCGAGTTTGGAGCGATTGGCCGCGTCTTTACTGAATACATGCTCGCTGCTGAGCACGTCTAGTTACAGTAGCTACTACTGGTAGGTGGGGAGAAGGCAGCAGTCAGGCTCAGAGAGGATTTGTCCAGGCTCGCCAGGGCATCCAAAATTCCCACCAACTTGAGTGCTTGTCGCCGACGATGGCGATATTTGCGTGTATTTTGCGTGAGCAGTCAACTGGAAGGACACATTGTGCCGAAGCGTTGCCCTCCCTCTCCACCACCAACCACCACCAAAAAGAAAGAAGGAAATTCAAGACAAGACAGAAGCAAGAGCAAGAGGCACCAGTCCATCCCCCGTCACATTCGGCCCAGCCGAGAGAGCTGCGCCGCGCTCACTTCTCGCATTCGGACATGGAAGAAACCTTTCAACGGTCGCTAGCGCAGCCCAGCCCCTGGCTGCAGTGTGCATCGGTGCCGCCGCAGTGCTGCGAGATTGGACGGTCTGGTCGGCGGCGCCGCCTCGCCTGATTCCATCCAGAGCACCTTCCTTGACAGGCATCGTAGAGGTGCATCTACCTTTTCTCGATACGAAGCTCGAGTTCGCAAGTCCATGGTGTTAGGACCCGTGCCAGTTCTGGGTACTCCGTACTGTACTAGAGGCACATGTTGGCGATAGATGGGTACCCGCTCTGACGGGGCAGGGAATGTGCGACGACGTGTACACTTGTACTGGCATCAGCAAGAGATAAGAGTAGCGATTCAAGGTCACTCCCCCAGGCAAATCGGGCAACGAGGTACCTGCGCAAAGTACCTCGCGGGCAGTGGTCGTTTGCTGGCCAGGTGCACACAGCCAGCGCCTAGTTAAGTTAACTAGAACCGAACCCCGACAAGACAACAGCGTCAGGCAGTGCCAGTTTGCTGAACCTGCAGCATCCATCCGTCTCCCTCTCTCTTGGCCAACGGCGGCCATCCACGCCTCGCCTTCTTCCTCCTCCCTCCCCTCTCGCGCTCAACGATTGCCGGCGCCGTCTGGTAGCACATTCCTGTGCCCGCCCAGCCTGATGCCATCGCCCTGAGCCCTTGTCCCGCGTCTCGCTCGCCCCCTCCCCCCCCCTCCCCCCCCGTCGAGCCCCATTCTACCCCGAAAGCGCGAGCGGACGATCCTTGGGCAGGGACCGACCCTTACCCAAGTCGAGTCCTCCTGCCCTTGGTAGCCGAGCGTTGCTGTCGCCAAGTCCCTCGCATTATTTCGCCACGAGTTGAAGCATTACCACGTCCTATCCGCACCTGGCTGACGTCCCCGTTGCCTGGAATCGGGCACCCGCCAACCTCCTTGTCGACAGACGGCGGCCTTCCCGTCGAACGTCGACTGTTCGCACCTCGTCGACTGCCGCCATTTTGAGCTCTTGACTGCTGGCGGCCCTAGAGGCTACGCAAAGGTTCGTTGGCCTGCTGCCGCCGCCGCGAGAGCCGTTGCCGCTAATCCTGCCTCAATTTTCCCCATCCAGCGTCCAGCATGGCCGACTACCAGTATGACCCTCGAGCAGCTCCGCAGCAGCGCCCTCGCGGCTATCCCGATTCCAACAACCAGCGAGATGCCGCCTTTTCCAACATATTTGGTGCCGCTCCCCCACCTGGCCGATCCCACACCATGACATCGTCGTCCTCGCATCCAGCCATGATGGAACAGGGCAGACCTCCGATGATGTCGCCTCCGGCCTCCGGCCCGCCTCGCCAGCCGCCGCCACGCCCGCAACAGGGTTTCTACGGCGAGCGTGATCCCGTGGCTGCAAGGAATCGGCAGGGCGACCCAAGCGGATACCATCCTGCCCATCGTGCAGCGTCTGGTGGACAAGGGCCGCCTCCTCAGGCGCAGTACTCGCAACAGCAACAGCAGCAGCAGCCGCCAAGACGACCTTATCCTGGCCCTGGAGGCCCGCCTCCCCCGCGATTTGAGTCGCGAGGCCCTCCAGCACAGGCTGCCGGGGCGAGATACCAGCCGCAGAGACCTTACCAGGGCAACCCGGGACCGGCACTCAATAGTGACCCTTATCGCTCCCAGTCTCTCGCTTCTGCGCCGCGCTCGCAGATGTACCACCCGCCGCCAAGCTCGTATCAACAGCAGTCGCCCGCGAACCACTCTCGTTTTGCTCAGTATAGTCATCAAAGCTCTGCCCGGACGACGGCTCAGGGCAGAGTGGTCCCGGAACGTCATGAAGACCGCTCCATGTCCATGACTGGAACGTTTCATCCGCAGGATAGAGACGCCCATCAAACGATGAGCGGCCGTATCATCCCGAACCGACGAGCCCCATCTGAAGCGCCGATGTCTAATGGTTATCCGCCACAGAATGGAGGGTATCCAAGCACACCCGGCTCGCAGACCCGTACCACTAGTATGGCATCGTCCACCGGCGCCTCGGACCACTCGAGATCAATGTCGATGGCCTCTAGCATCGCGCCGACGATAGTTGGGTCGGAAACCGACGCCGGGACGTTGGTGCAGCGTCCGTCCAGGAGCAAATCGATCGAGAGTGAGCGGCCCACCACTGCGACCAAGATAAGGCCCCCCCTTGTGTACCCGGCCCTGCTCTCGAGAGTTGCAGAGTGCTTCCGGCGGAAGATCATCATCGGCGACCGAACCAAGAACGAGCTCACGTACAAGAACGCCTTCAGCGGTTCCGAGGCGGTAGATGTCCTGTCGTATATTATTAGGACGACGGACCGAAACCTGGCCTTGCTTCTTGGTCGGGCCTTGGACGCGCAAAAGTTCTTCCACGATGTGACGTATGAGCACCGGCTGCGAGACTCACAGTCCGAGATGTATCAGTTCCGGGAGAGCTTGATGGACGAACCAGAGGATAAGTCTCCAGTAAACGGTGTCTTTGTTTTGCTCTCGGAGTGCTACTCGCCGACTTGCACGAGAGACCAACTCTGCTACTCCATTGCCTGCCCTCGACGGTTGGAGCAGGTTTCCCGACTCAACCTCAAGATGGGCCCAGGCTTGCGCAAGGAGGATTCCGCCAATGTCAACGACGACGAGGTCGATCAGACCGACGAGCAAAAGCTCTGGATCAACTCGGTGCCAAAGGAGATTGCTGACGCTGTCGACGAGAGGGAAAAGAAGAGGCAGGAGGTGATTTCGGAAATCTGCTACACGGAGCGTGACTTTGTCAAAGACCTGGAGTACCTCCGCGACTTCTGGATCATTCCCCTGAGGTCAAAGGCGTCGCCGATTCCCCTCCAGCGCCGGGAGAAGGTGGTAAAGAATATCTTTAGCAACATTGTCGATCATCCCAGCATTCATTCAGTCAGTTCGCGATTTGCGACATCCTTGACGACCCGGCAGCAGAAGGAGCCGATTGTCCACAACATTGGCGATATCTTCCTCGAGTTTGTGCCACTATTTGAGCCCTTTATACTGTATGGGTCCAAGCAGCTGGAGGGCAAGTTTGAGTTTGAAAATGAGCGGTCCATCAACCCCTTCTTTGGCAAGTTTGTCGACGAGATTGAGCGGCGCAAGGAGTCGAGAAAGCTCGAGCTCAACGGCTACCTCACCAAGCCGACGACACGTCTTGCTCGGTATCCTCTCTTGCTTGAGAATGTGCTCAAGTACACCGAAGAGGGCAACCCGGACAAGGGAGATATCCCCAAGGTGCTCACCGTGATTCGAGACCTTCTCGGACGCGTAAACGCGGAGTCCGGAAAGGCGGAGAATCGCTTCAACCTGAGGCGACTTCACGAACAGCTCAGGTTTAGGCCCAACGAACGGGTCGACCTGAAGCTTACGGAGGAGGGCCGTGAGCTCGTTTTCAAGAGCCAGCTGAAGAAGTCTCCGACGGATCCGTCTGAGATTACCGCATTCCTATTTGACCACGCCGTACTGCTCGTGCGTATCAAGCAAAGCGGTAAGAACGAGGAGATCAAGGCTTATCGACGTCCCATTCCACTGGAGCTGCTGGCCATCCGCGAGATGGACGAAGTCATCCCTGTCCAGGGCATCAAGCGGTCGTCGTCGAGCCTGATTCCGTCAATCAGGGCAAACAACTCGGAAACCAAGAAGGGAGATGGATGGCCAATCACCTTCCGACATTTGGGCAAGGCGGGATACGAGCTGATGCTCTTTGCGGCAAACCAGGCTGCGCGCAAAAAGTGGCTAGAGTTTATCGACAATGCCCAGCAGCGCCTCCGCGGCCGCGCCGACTTCTTCAACACGACCGTCATCTCCAGCAACTTCTTCGTGGGCACCAATCAGATCCGGTGTGTCACGCCGTTTGGTAAGTCTACCCGCCCCCGCTCTGCGACGACGCCCTCACTAAGCTGTTTGATAGACGGTGGCCGCAAGCTGCTGTACGGAACCGACAATGGCATCTACTTGTCTGATCGTAAGAACAAGGAGCAGATCCCAAGGCGAGTTCTGGAGACGACAAACGTAACCCAGATTGACATCCTCGAGGAATACCAGCTGCTGCTCGTCTTGTCCAACAAGACGCTGCAGTCGTACTCGGTGACGGCGCTGAACCCCGACGAGCCGGCCCTGGCCAAGCGGCCAAAGAAGATCCAGAACCACTGCAGCTTCTTCAAGACGGGCATTTGCCTGGGCCGCCATCTCGTGTGCTGCGTCAAGTCGTCGGCACTGTCGACCACCATCAAGGTTTTTGAGCCAAACGACGCCATGACAAAGGCTAAGAAACAGAAAGGTCTGGGCAAGTTTATGGCCGGCGGCCAGGACGAACTGAGGCCGTTCAAGGAGTTTTACATTCCGACCGAGTCGTCGTCTGTTCACTTCCTCAAGTCGAAGCTCTGCGTGGCGTGCGCCAGGGGGTTCGAGGTGGTGTCGCTCGAGACGCTCGAGACTCAGTCTCTGCTGGACCAGGCCGATACCTCGCTCGACTTTGTCGCGCGCAAGGAAGGCGTCAAGCCCATCCACATCGAGCGCCTCAACGGCGAGTTCCTGCTCAACTACTCGGAATTCTCGTTCTTCGTTAACCGTAATGGGTGGCGAGCACGACCGGAGTGGCGCATCGACTGGGAGGGCACGCCGCAGAGCTTTGCCCTGAGCTACCCGTGGATCCTTGCCTTTGAGGCCAACTTCATCGAACTGCGGAACATAGAGAATGGCGCGGTTCATATTGTGCCCCACAAGAACATTCGCATGCTTCACAGCAGTACGCACGAGGTATGTTTGAAGAGGCAGCTCTGCTTGGCCGCTCCGGTACTGACACTTGGATCGCTAGATACTATTCGCATACGAAGACGAGCGCGGGGAAGACGTCGTCGAGGCCATTGACTTTTGGAAGAACAACAGACGTTCTGAGCTGCCTCTAGCGTCACCGGCCCCCCAGCCCGGCACCTTGACGTCCCCACGATAACGCATGCCCTTCGACCCCTTGCACCTTGAACATAGACTAGAATCCCTTCCAGGAAATTTCTTCTTGTATCACTTGACGGCAATCCCGAGTGCGTCGCCTTTGCTCGCTTGCCCCTGGCACCCCATGGCCGGAGGACCAAGGGGCTCTTGAGCGAGTGTTATTTAGTACACGGTTAATTTGAGGGGAGAGTCGGGCATGCCTGGCTTGGACTTCAATCGAGCCCCTGGGGCCAGAGGAGACGAGAATATTGTCTCGTGGCGAGATGGGGCATCGGTGGGAGGCCACATGGCAACGGCGGTTTTGCGTGACCCGACGACGGAGACGCTTGGGCATTCGGATTTGATGCCGCGGACATACCCTTGGAACCGTGGCGCCGAAGTCGAGGGCCCCGGATGGCCTTGGGCAGTACGAGGCAACGAAGAAGAGGAGCAGCGGCGGAGAGGGGATGCGAAGAGTGCCTGTACGCTGGGAGGGATCAGCGAAAATATGCGTGTATGCGATGTGAAACCAAGCGGCGGGTGACTGGTCCTCGGTGGACTGAGCGAGCAGTCGGGGATCAGGCCTAGTGAAGGCGGAGAGGCGGTTGATAGTCTAATATGCAAGTAAATGGACAGAAAAAGAAGACCTTGACAAGCGACCAAGATTGTATCTGAGGGTGATGCTTTGTGCTTTGTTTACTATCTGACGAGTGCCTCTATTCCTTGACACGACATGATTGAGAAGACGTAGAGACGGTTGAGTCTTCGCTCGCCGTACATCTTCAGTCGATGGAGCGGGAAGGCGAGTCTTTCCCCCAGACATGACAGCCTGGTCCCCTGAAACGCGCGGGACGGGCATCCCCTGGGACACGTCCTGGCACTCTCCATCAGGGCGGCCTCGCCAAAGCATCAACGACGCGGCCGCCGACGACGTCGACGGGGCCCCAGCGCTGCTCCCTGCCCGGCCTCGGCCCGCGGCGGCCCCGCCACAGGCCCAAGTGGTCGAGCAGGACCTCGACGACGGTGACGAGGCGGGCCCCGGGAGAGGCCGCGACGGACGTGCGCGGCAGGCGCGTGCAGAGCAGGTGCAGGTCGAGCAGCTGTGCAAAGACGAGCCCGAACGAGGGCCTGGCCCGGCCCGGCGCTGGCTGGTGGTGGTGGGTGGGCGGCGGCGGGGGGAAGACGGAGCGGAGGGTAGCGTCGAGGGGCTTCGAGGGGGGCGTGTGGTGGTGGTTGTGGTGGTGGTGGTGGTTTGCATCTTGGGCTGTGGAGGAGGAGGCGGTGGTGGTGGTGGTGGTGGTGGTTGAGTTTAGGAGTAGGATGAGGGGGCTCGACGGCAGGTCGCGCGCGAGGCGGCGCAGGCGCGTGGCCAGCTGCGCGAGCGCGGCGTGGGCAGCCGACTTTTCGCGACGGGCGAAGAGGCCGGTCAGCAGCGAGGAGAAGTGCGTGACGAGGATGACGCCGGGCGACGACGCGGCGGCGGCAGGCGGCAGCGACGAGGCCGCGTCGTCGTCGTCGTCGTCGTCGTCGTCGTCGTCGTCCTGGCTGTCCGCAATCTCCGAGCGCGCCGTCCTCGCCGTCCCCTCCCCCCCCCCAGCCGCCGGCCCCAGCTGCCCCCCCGCCGCGTCCAGCTCAGCCAGCACCTCGCCCAGCCCGGCAATGTCAAAGACGCACGACAGCATCACGCGGTCCAGGCACGCCCGCGCCCGGGCGCCGTCGCCGCCGGCCGCCGCCACCTCGGCCTCGATGCCCTCGCGCAGCGCCCCGAGCAGCGGGCCCGCCGGCCTGGGCGTCACCATGAGCACCCTTCCGTCGACGTCGTCGTCGTGGCAGAGCCATCGGGTCACCACCTGCAGCCCCAGCTGGGTGTAGACCATCGCCTTGGTCAGCACGGTGTGGCAATGCGAGCAGGCCCTTCGTCTTCTTCGTCGGGTCAGGGAAAGAAAGGAAGCGGGCTCAGCATACCACAAGTCCAAACCCCTCCTCCTCCTCGGCACTCACCCCGACCACGCTCCCCCTCTCGAACCCTCCGTCCATGAGCACGTACTCGTCCAGCTCGCGGCACCCGCTGCGGCAGGGCCCCCGAGCCCTCAGGCCGTTCCGGCGCGCAGCCTCCCTCGCCGCCAGCACCGACGCCGGCACCGGCTCAAGAGAGGAGCGCGGCGCGTCTGCCCGTGACGGTTTTGCTTCCATGGCCGCGCGAGAGGCTCGTTTCGTCGCCTGTTGGCCGGCACGTGCCCTGGTCAGGCTTTATCGCGTGGCAAGTCAAAAGTCTCGCCGTGTCGTGCAAAAGGCACGCAACCGTGGTTGCGAGTCCGCCGACAAAAAGTACCAACTTGCACATCTAAACTTCACCGGCGCTTGCTCCCGACCCAGCTTCTGAGATAAGAAATGTAATGTATTCGTAACAATCTGCCTAGGGTTTGTCCGGCAAAATGAAAGAAAGGCCATCTTCGCCCTCGTCAGACCTCAGTGCGCAACGTCAGAAATTCGGCTCTTCTCGTCTCCCGTCCTACCATCCCAAAAAGTATTGAACATGAACTGGAACCCCCTCTGCGGACCCATCGTCGCGCGAGCCGCCAGTAATGCCCGTCCAATTACCACCTCGCCTTCTATCCGCCTGTCTGAGAGTGGCCCTTCTTGAAAAGCCGACCCTTCCTGGCTGCCAGCTTGTGGCCGTGCCGAATCCACCCCAAGTACTCCCGTTTCCCGTGAGACTTATGGGGCTCGCGCGTCCTTGAATCCCCTGTCCTCTCGATGCCAACATTGTCTTGCTCGACGTCGCCAGACCAGCTCCAACGCGCTGCTCGTCGTCGTTGACCCCTCTATACTTACACCTCGTCGCCGCCTTACATGGTCACGCCAGACGTCTGCATCTGGGCGTGCTCCGAAGTTCGGGGTCTTCTGCCGCCTTTCAGGCTCTTCATTCGGCCCAAAAGCCCCGAGGGCTTAGCGTGGCCCTCTTCCGAGGCCATCGTGCCGTCGGCCTGACCTCTTCGCTCGAGAGCTCCACCTGACATCCGACGAGGCACCCGCGGAGGGCTGTGCGAGGCCCTGGTCCCGTCTCGAGGCCTGATGCTGATGGTCTCGTCCCCCTTGCTAAACTCGGAGAAGAAGGGGTTCGCCTCGGACCCAGCGCTAACGGTGCCTGAGGGAATAGGGTCTGGCGAGAGCCTAGTATATGTGCCCTCTGGGTTCGTCATCCTGCCAGACGGCGCAAACTCTCGCTGGCCCTTGTTGATGTGCCGGATGCGTTGTGCCAGCGACTTTTTGCGTTGAATGCCACCTTCGACAACCTCCTGGGCCTGCTCCGCCTCGCGTCGAGCAATGGCCGTCCTCGCCGCGGGCGTACCCTCCAGGAAGGTCGACGTACCCAAGCCGTAGCTCTCGTCGCCGTGGACCGCGGAGCCACGCGCGATGGGGTCGAATATCGCGGCCTCCCCGACCGACGGGACCGGATAGTTGTAGCCGTTCTTGTTCTTGACGCCCCCGGCGTAGTCTCGGAACGCCTCATCTGTGGCGTTGCCCATGAAGACGGCGTGATCGGGATTTCGGTTGAGGGGACCCGCACCGCCCAGCGAGTTGTTGAGGGAATCTTTGGGGAAGGCCTGCATGGGGGCCCGCCGGCTGTTCTGGCGGTTACGATGAGGGTTCAAGGCGTCAAAGGGCCCGTCATGGTGGAACACTAGCAAGATCATCAGCACACGGTAACTGCATAGGTCCAAGGGCCGCGCATACACCCGGTTCCGTAGATGCTCGTGGCGTCGAGTTGGTCGATGATGTCCAATTTACGGCCCGGGCGCCTAGACTTGCTCCTCTCCTTGCCGTCGGCGCGGCTCGATGACGACCGACCGTCCCGATCGCGGCGCTGCTTATCGCGAAGGCGTTTGGCCTCAATCATCTTCATTTCGTCCGCGGTGATGGGCTGCGTGTTAAGGTCCAAGACGGAGGACTCCGAGTTTCGTCGAGGGCGCTGCTGCGGCTTTCGCTGCGGCGATTCCGACGGGCCGGGCCGTTGGCCGCTCAGGGGAGGCTTCCGGGCCCTCAAGGCCTCCTCCTGCGACCGCGTGGGACGGTGGCTGGCTTTGGGCAGTTTGGCGAGCGGCTTGTTCTCTCCCCGACGAGAAGCGGGGACCACCTCCAGACGACGCTGCGAGGCGGGAGGGGCGGCAGAAGGCTTCTTGTCGTCGAGGGTCAAAGAATCCTATGGGCGGATGGCGGTCAGCTCGCGGACACGCGTGATGGCGTCGACCGAGCTGCCCGACGTGGGGGACGAGCAGGCAGAGGGCGTGATAGGGCGGCAATGCGAGACCAAGACTTACAAAAATCTCCTCGGCCGACAGAGATCTAGAGTTGGAGTGAGTCGACATATTGGCGGGCGAGGGCAATTGAGCAGAGGGGAGCGTCTGGTCGAAGAAGGGATTGCGCGACAGAGGCCGGCGAAGAGGCTCATCAAAAGGCGAGGCCGGCGAGGTCTGGGCAGCGTCCAAGCTCGAGGGCGAGGCAGCACGGTTGCGGAAAGGATTGTTGGAAGAGAGATGGTGGGCGGAGAGGCTGGAGGATTGAGCACCAGCTGGGTGTTGCCCTGTTCGACGGGAAAAGATCAGCCGACGGGTTGATGCAGAAGGACAAAGCAGGCGGTTGTGCAGAGAGGAACATGAAACAAGACAATCTCCGCCCGCCAGTGATGCAGCAGGAGGGTAGCCGATGAGTGGACCGATGGCGAGAGTGCCGTGCTTGGCGGTTGGGCGACGGTATGGCTGGCTGGCTTGGAGGCGAGTGCGTGCTCCCTTGTTGACGAGGGAGGGAGGGAGGATGGCGGCCGGGGGTGCGGGCGGCAGAAACCCAAGCCGTGTGGAATGAAAGTCAAAACGAAGGTGGCGCGCGGCGGGGCTTACCTGGGTTCGAAGCGTCCGAGAAGGACATGATGGGCCAACAAAAACGAGGATGCGACGACGAGTGTGACGCTGATCGCCTGACAGCCGTTGCAGAAGGGCGATGAAAAGTCGTGGACGTGCAAACGAGAGAAGGCCAGCGTCATACTAAGCAGCCAAGGAGATGCTATCAGCCGCGATGACGGGCTAGCGGGGCAAGCAGCGGCTACCGCCAGTCAACGGAGGCCCCAGCTCCCAAAAAAGGGGCTTCGTCCTGGGGACGGGGTCGCGGTGTGTCGATCGGCAGGCCACGGCCCTTGCGACTGTGACGTGGAATTCTGCGCTGCGCTGCGCAGACAACAAAGGCCTGGCGATCTGCAGGAGGCTGCCAATACACCGCTCTGCCTGTCCCACCGCGGGTGCGTCTTGTCGGGCGTTGGCGCTCTGATTCAGTCGGTGCAAGAGAGGGAGAGGGCTTCAAAGGAAACGAGGCAACGGACGGGCCGTAGTCGGCAGGCGTGCAAAGCCGGAATTTTGGTCCAGAGGTCGATGATACGACAAAGGGGTGAGTGAGGTATGGGCGACGAGGTCTAGCGTCTCATGCTACCCGTCGTAGTCCTTGGCTCTTGCTGAATTGTGAAGCCTGTGGGAATGGGGGGCCAAGTGCATCAGCGAGCCACCACGAATTGGGATGGACGGTGGAGTTGGAAATAATGCTCCTTTGATGAACCCAGTCCCGGTCCAGGGCCCGCACTGGGAGGGGGGGAGGGAACAGGAGGGCTCAGGTCACGTTGGTGCACCCAATGAATGGGCTGAACGAGCGCCTTTGAATGCTGTTCTGTTGTTGTTCCCCTTGATCGCCCCGAACGCACCTACAGCATGTATCGTGAAAGTCGGCCTCTGTCGAGAAAGCGGGGGACAGATATCGAAGACGGCGAGGAGAGGGCGACAAAGATGCTGCAGAGTATCGATGCAGACACGAACCGAGCGTGGTGACGGGCGGCTGTCTGTGTGCGTAACCGATGTGTCGTTTTGCTCGTCTGCGGCGACGGCACAGGCGGCTGCAGGCCGGGAGGAGCAATGGATGATGATGGTTGAGCAGATGCTTGTTGTTCTTTGCGGCGAGTCGAGCGATCAAGGGCCTCTGAGAGGGCGGGGAAAGGGGGGAGTGAGGTTGAAGGGAGGGAGGAAGGGAGGAAGATGAGGCCGAGGAAGAGAGTGAGAGCGAGCTCGGGAGGAAGCTACGGGCGACGACCAACGTACTGTACCAAGCGATTGACTCGGCCGAAGAGGAAGCTATGGAGATGGAAGGCAGCAACCACCCAACACCCAACCTCACGCTCAGCTGCCGTTTTGGCGCTATTCAGAGAACCGAGCGAGCCGCCTATAGCGATGCACCCTCGCTGTAATCCCCGGGGCCACAGGCAGGCCGTAATTGCAGGTACAGTAGTTACAGAGGTAGCACTACGGGAAGGCTGACCGAGGTACCTTGAGCACCGGACTCTGCGCCAATCTCTCCCCTGTTTTCCCTTCTTCCCGTCCACCAGTTCCGGGCAATTCAAGCCTTTTCCGGGCTCCAAGTGCGAGGCCAGAGCCGATACTACTCCGTAGAGGTAAAGTCAGTGACGTTGTGCCCCCCAATGTTGGCCCGCTCATGACGTCCCCTGCATGTCACGCCAAACGCGACAGCCAAAGTCAGTTTGTACAGTATGTACAAGACTACAGGGCCCCTCCGCAGTGACATGCCTCTACTGTAGTAGCTTGAGCATGTGCCTGTGCGGCTACGCGCCGTGCGTGCGCGCTGAGAGAGTGGAGCCCGACAAGTCACGAGGGGAAGTCAGGTGCCGGTTCAATGGCCCAGGGAACAATTATTAGTGCCCGGCACCGGTTCAGCTCATCACACCCCGACGGGCCTCAAGCTACTACCAGTAAACACAGTGTCAACAACGCTTCCTCGGCCCATCACCTCGAAAGACAACCAGAAAAGGACGATTGCACGGCATCACGCACAGCATCAAGCACGGCATCACGCCAAAACAGCCGTGGAAAATCAATGACGAAACCAATCGTCTCTAAGTGGCCCCCTCGCGTAATCAATTCATTCCCCAACACGAGAACGTCCGACCCGCGACCCGCTCGCTGGCAGACGGCGGGAGGAAGCAATATCAATACACGTGCATGCCCGGGCATCCTCGCGCACGTACATGCATCGTATTGTGCGCAGGCTGCTGCAGCATGGATGACAAGAGACCCTGGAATGCGGGCGGCTCTCCCATCCACCGCCCCGCTCTCGTTATTGTCGATTTCAACGGTTTCGCCCAGTTATGCGGTGCGAGCACGAATGTATAATGCCGTGTCTGGCACGAGACATGCTGTCGAATTCCAGCCAAGCCACCTGCCCATGCTGTCTCACCCGCCCGGCCTGGAAAGCATGGCAATATGAAAGGGGGCCGCCATCTACCGCCTTTAGCTTCATCTGTCTAGCGAGAGCCCGTTATCTCGAGCATCTCCATTCCAGCCTTCACTACGACTGCGACTCCGAGTGTGGGGGAGGCACGTCAAGACAGCCTCAAGTTCCGCAGACGCTGGTCAGTTCGAACGACACTCGACGACGGACCAAGACGAGTGAGCAGAAGCCACGGCGAGCAACAAGACGGCTTCTAATTACCCATCACCAAGGTAAATGCAGCGGAGTGCCAAGTCCCTGTCCGAGAACCGCCTCCGCCGTCCCAATATCGCCTGTTGATCACGAGCCATTAGCAACGAGGTCAACCGTAAACTTGGCCGGGACGAATGGCTGTCCGGGGCAGGGCAACACGCACCTGGCCCCCTGGGAGCCCAGTACTCGCCGGTCTTGGACATGTCCAGCTCGTCGGTCCACGCCATCAAGCTCGTCGCCGCCTCGTCGGGGGTGACCGCTGTTGTTCACCATGCCATTAGCCCATGCTGCTGCTGAACCCGGGGCCCGAACTCACCTCCGCCTGCGTCCCAGTACTGATCAAAGCCGACCCCCCTGGTCATGTCGGTGCGCATGAACCCCGGGTGCACGATGCTGACGACGACGCCCTTGTCCCCGAGGTCCAGGCTGAGCAGCTTGCCCACCATGTTGAGCGCCGCCTTGCTGGCGTGGTGCGCGTAGTTGCCGCCGCCTTCCTTGGCGTGCCGCAGGGCGATGCTGCCGGCCTCGGACGACACCAGGACGATGCGCGAGCCGCTGTGCACGAGCCCCGCACCCACGAGCCGGTGCACGATGAAGACGGGCGCGATGGAGCTGGTCGTGTACATGCGCTGCTCCTCCTCCCAGTTGGGGCCCTTGTCGGCCGTCAGGTCCTCGGTCGTGAAGTGGCCCGCCGTGATGATCTGCCACTGGGGGGTCAGCCATTAAAAGTGACGTCGAGGTTGAAACCGGAAGGAGTTGACACGCACAACGGCAGACAGCGGCTTCGCGTCGCCCAGCTGCTTGACGAGAGCTTCGCCCACGCCCGCGTCCATGAGGTCGATGCCGGGCAGCCATTTGACCTGCGGGGGGAAGCCAGGGGGCACGCTCTGGGACCGCGTCGTGCCGTACACGGCGGCGCCGGCACGGGCGGCGTACTGCTTGGCCAGGCTTGCCCCCAGGCCCCTCGTAGCACCCACAATCAGAACCGAAGACATTGTCGGCAGCTCGAGAGGGAAAACTAGGATTGGGACAGCGTCAAGTCGTGGCTGTCGGTGATGATTGCTGGAGCCCGCTGGGACATGCGAGGTGATGCAACCGTGTACCTACTTTGCGTCACATCCGGAGGAGGGGCACAGGGGAAGCTCCAATGCTCTAACCGCAGAGGTGTTGCCCTCGGCTCAACGTACAGTACGTAAATGAAACCGCCCAACACTCATGCGTATCCCGGGCACGACTCGCAGCACAACCACTCTCGCCCAAGTCCCTGATGGCAAAGGACATACAGAGAGACTTGAATTGCCGGCCAAGCATCCGATTGCCACGTGCACACAGCGCGCAAGACAATGATGTCCATGGCCCAATTCATCAGTTAATTCCCTAAACACTCCCATGATGCCTTCAACCTATAAATCCCCCTCCCCCCAACGCAACCTTTGCGCCCGCCCATCTCCCTCTCCCTCTCTTGCTCCCAGAAGAGCCGATAAACAACATGTCTGCCGCATGACGCCGCTCCCGTCATCACACAGGCATCCGCAGCTTGCCATTTGCTGCGGCCCATGACCCATCTCCCCTTGTCTGCTCATCCCTCAAACTCCACCACGCCCGTTCCCGACAACGAGGCCGACGCCTCGGCCGGGCGCTTCCCCTCGGCCGGGTCCATGTCCATCAGGTTCTGCTCCTCGTCCTTGGACGGCGCCCCGGCCTCTGCGTCCAGGCCGTCGAGCAGGTCGCGATCCGTGCTCTTGACAGACCGCCGCTCAATGTCCTGACTGCCGCCGCCGGGACCCTTGCGAGCCCCCACCGCGACGCCAATGTCGTCGTCGTCTTCGTCGTCGTCGTCTTGTCGCTGGTCGGGCAGCGCGTTCTTCTCCAGCTCCTTCTGGGCTTCCTCCATGCGCCTGCGCACCTCCGTCGCCACCCGCATGCCGTCCGTGACGATGTTGTCCAGCACGCCGCGCAGGCCGCGACCCCCTCCCGGCGGGCCCGGCTGCATCGGCACCGGTGACCTGGCGCCGAAGCCCAGGCTCGAGAACGTCGTCAAAGACTGCGTTGACGGTGTCGCCGCAGCACTCCTCACTCCCTCCACCACGTGGAACGATGCCGGGAAAGACGACTCAAAGAACTGCTCGAGCAGCTCATCGGCCAGCACCACCATTCTAAAGGTCGGCAGGGTGATGTGAAGGGGATGAGCCGGGTCCAGGGCGGCATTGGCAGCTTCAGACTTTGCCTTGGACACCCTGCGTCGGGAGGTAGCGCCGCTTCCTGTAGCGGGGGCCGTGTCATCCGGGTCCGGAGACGTTTCCTTGGCCTCCTTTGCTTTCGCGGGAGAGTCCGAGGGCGCCTCGAGCTCGAGCAAGTCTTCGTCGTCCTCGTCGTCCCCGATGGCGAAGGCGCTCGAGTCGGCGGCCCCCCCTTGGGACATCGACGACGTGTCTTCCCCGCTGGCCTTGTTCTGAGGATGATCTGCGTCGGCGTACTCGAAGCACCGTCGAATAAAGGCGCTCACGCTGCCCAGGAACCGCTCGTTTGCCGGCGCGCTAGCAGGGAGGCTGCCCTGAGACTCCTGGCCACTGCCCGTGTCCCCATTCAGGGCTGTGCTGGAGGCGTTGGAGCTCAGGGTACCCTCTAGGCCGCGTCTTGACAGGAACAGGAGCGCCTCGGATATCCGCAGGATCCCCTCTCGGTCTACCCTGCCATCGCCGTCGTCGTCGTAGAGCTCGAAAAAGTAGGTGATTGTGCCCATGATGTCGTGTTTCCCCTTGATGCCCGCCAGACCCGTGACGACGTTCTGCAGGGTCAGTGCCGAGTTCCCGTCGACGTCCCATTTCTTGTACAGCCGCTGCAGGAAATCATGCTCGGCGGGCTCTGGCCCGGCTCCCCACGGCGACGTCAGATCTTGAGCCCTCCTAGCGCTGTTGAACTTGCCAAACTTGTCCGTGTCCGTGCCCGTCTGCCGCCTCGAGTGGTTGGGGGAGTCGGAGATGGCCCATCGCGACATGCCCGCCAGGAACTCCCGGAAAGCGTCGTAGTCCATGAGGCTCGTGCTCGAGCCGAGCGCGACGCGGCCCTTTTCGACCTGATTTTGCGGCGTGGGCGCGAAAATCTCAGAGGCCCGCATCCTGCTCGACTTGGCCCGCCGCTGCAGCTCCTCTTGAACCATCTGCTCCCTCTGCTGTCGCTCGTAGAGCACGCTGTAGAAGCGATCGTACAGCGCCCCCAGCTCGTCCGGGCCCAGCAGCTTGCTGTCCGGCCCCAGGTTGCGAATGGCCGTCCTCTTGGCAAAGTTCTCAATGTTACTGAGAACCGCATCCTTCTTCTTCAGCCGCAGCTCCGTGATGCTGCTGTGGGTGATTCCCGAGAACTCCTTGAAGGCCACAACCATGAGCTCCTGGAAGCGGGTGACGGCGCGGAGCTTGGGGTTCTCCGACTTGGGATGGGCCGACTCGTCGAGCCGGGCAAAGTATGACTTGAGGACCGAAATGAAGGCACCGTCGTCGGCCGCGTCCAGCAGCTCCTCGCCGTTTATGCGCAGGATGGCGAGGCCTACTTGAAACAAGACCTTGGGGCCCTCAACGAAGAAGACGTCCAAGACACGGAAGGCGAAGATGAGGGGCATCGAGTTGATGTAGAGCGAGAGAAACCAGGGCAGGGACACGACGGACAGCTGGACGTCGCTCTTGACGAGGTGCTCCCAGAGAATGGGCATGGTCCTCTCGACCAGGGACTCAAAGACTTTTTGATCGAGCAGGGTGCCGTACATGGTGGTGGAGTAGTACCCGGGCACCAGGCGATCGCACAGGGCGGAGAGCAGGAAAAAGGCCTGGGACTCTGACATGTAGATGAGCAGGGCGGCGACGACAATGTTCATGGCCTGGCAGTAGCCAACGTCGGCGTCGACCCAGCTGTAGGCGGTGAGGACGCGGCGCAGCCTGCCAATGCCCTCCTCGCTCTGGAAGCCGGGGTACTCTGGCAGGCTTCGGTTCAGATCCTTTTCGATCTCGTCGATGGCGAGCGACTCCTGGCCGTCGAACTTGGCCAGGGTGTCGGCGTACAGGGTCGGGTTCTCGAGGCGCAGGTAGACGGAGCCCGAGGTGAGCTCCCATATCTCGCCTCGGAGGCGGTTGGGCAGGCCGACGCGGATGAGCTTGTGGAAGGTGGGCTGGCGCATCAGGGTGGCGTTTCGGCCGTTGTCGCGCAGGTACTCGGCCCAGAGGCGCATCTTGGCGCGGTCCCGCAGCTTCTTGGGGTCGCCGGGATATCGAAAGACCATGCCGAGGCCGGCGTCGGGAGGGCTCGCCGTCTTCTTGTCCTCTGGGCGGAGGAGGTGCTCGGAGTAGCACTCGGCGACGACCCTGCGCAGCTTGGCGACATTGCCGACGCCGGCGCGCAGGCCCCGCTTGAGGCCGTCACAGAACCTCTCGCAGGCAGGTCGGGAGCCGGCCAGGTGGATGGTGATGCGCTGGTCTCGCGAGTCTTTGGCGTCTTTGGCGTCTTTGGTGGCCTCCTTGTCCTTGAAGTTTTCGGTGAGGAGGCCGTTCCAGGTGGTGATGGCCAGGGCGAACTGGGCAGGCGGCAGTCAGCTCGACGAGTCTTTTTTTCCTCTGGCGGAGTCATGCGCAGCTCACCTGAAAGTTTTGGCTGTTGAGCCTCTCGACCTTTCGGATGGCACAGAGGGGAAAGGTGAAGCCATTGCCACTGGGCCCGGCGCCGTGGGTCTGGCCGGTGAAGGCGGACGAGGTCGAGGTGCTGGCCGACTGGAGGAAGCTGGTGGGCGTGGTGGAGAAGCACATGTAGGCCTCGGACAGGTGAAGCTTGCCGGCGTAGTGCCATCCTCGATGGCGGTCCCTGTCGCCGCGGGTGGCGTTGGAGGGCGGGATGGTGAGCTCTGCGTTGATCTCGCACAGGGGCGTCTGGGAGGCGGGCAGGCGGAACTGGCTCCGGAAGAGGGAGGCCTTGGAAGGGTTGCGGTCGGAGCTGGAGAGATTGAGGCCCTGGGTGGGGTCAATGAGCTGCTGGGCCTTGTGCACGATGTTCGTCAGGTTGGAGAACATGTCTGCGGTCAGCGGCGCCGCATGGCGGTGCTCTGCTCGGTATGTTTTCCTCGTGCTCTTGGTTCGCTCGAGGGAACGGGACGCGTGAAGGAGAGGAGGCGGGAAGGGGCGTCGGCTGTGGTGAGCGCAGAGGAGAGAGGCTTTTCGAGGCTGGAGCGAGGCGGGTCGGCCGACGAGACGAGGTCTGGCTAGACACGACGACGATGAGATCGTCAGCGGTAAGGATGGTTGAGGATCTGACTCGAGGACGCATAGGGGCCGCGGGTGCGGCTGGCGCCATGGAAGGGGTGGGGAATCTACTCGGTACTGCTGAGGTACGGGCTGAGCCCCGCCCGCTCACTCACTGTACAGTACAATCTGTCACTAGCGCCCGGCGCTGTGGCGGATTACTACAGCGCCTGCCAACCACCACACGAAATCAAAGACGCGTCAATCAGGGTGGTGGGAAGGAGGGCGCGTCGTCTACTAGATACTTAGGCAGTACCGCCTGCTAGGTACTAGTTAGGCATGGAAGGCAGGTACCGAGCCGTCAGCCAGCACAGCAGCAGTACCAGAGCACTGTACGAATCCAATGAACGCAGGTGCGTGCCGTGGCCGGTATGGGATGCGCGTAGCGGAGTGGCAGCATACCAGCCCCGGCAAGTCCCCGCGCAGTACCTAATGGAGAGCCTACAGCAGGTACCAGCGCCCTTGTCCCCCCCCTTGCCTTGGCTATAATGCGCTGTAGAAGACAAGGACTCTTGATTCTTCATCAATTCGACTACTAAACAACAGCATCAAAAGAGTCCAAGTGCGTATGGTGGGGGGGACATGGGCACAGTAATGCGTCTCCACGGCGAGGCCTTGAATTCATTCTTGGGGTCGAATGCAGGTCCAGCTTTGCATGGAGACCAGCGCCGGCCGGCATGGGCGTAATGGAGCATGCGAAATAAATGCATACAACTGCCTGCCCCGAATCGACTCAGTGATTGAGACAATGCCCCCGACTCAATGCCCACGTCATGCGCATCAGTGTCAAGCATTCGTCTGGCCGTCATCGTGGGCCAGCTCGGCTCCCTCATCCGACTTTGTTCTCAGTGCACTCCGACTTGGGCGGTTTTGATCTTCGTCTTCTGCAGCGCCCACACCTGCGCAACACCAGAGACAGAAGGAGTAGGCACATGATTTAGACTCACCACCTTGTTAGACACCTTGACTGCACTGTACTAATTAACTTAATTAATTACCCATCCGACTGGATGTGTGTGGGGTGCGTTTGAGGCCCGGCGGTTGCGTCATAGCCCGCCCCGCGACGGCTCCGTCGTTCGCATCGGAACCACTTACACGCGCCCAATTCCACCACAGGTAAAAAACAGCCTCCGGAGGACGGCTCCCTTGCTCGTGCTATACCCTCGTGCTATGCCTCGTCCGTGGTCTTCTCTCCTCGTTTTAGTCTTTTAGTGCCTTCCGCTGCCTTCCACTCCCGCCGCCGCCGTCATCTTCTCCCTCCTTTATTTGATTCTCCCCTTCCCCCCCTCCCCCGCTTTCCACCAACCCCCGCGCCATAGTCGAGCAATTTCCCCGAATCAAGGCCGTTTTTTGTCAACGGCGTCGTCGTCGTCATCGTTGAACCAGCCTGTCGTGTCTTCTGAACGAGCTTCCTTTCTGGCCGCCGTCGGTTCCAATCCAATTGATTCGCTGCGGAACCCTCGTCCCTCAAACCTTGACACCTGCCGCCCGCCCTCCCGAGCCCTCCGTCTCTTCCGTTCCGGCGCCTCCACCTCTCGTCTCCCACTCTGCTCACCCCGGCGGCCATGGACGGCACCTGAAACGCAATCTCGGGGAGAAAAAAGTCTTTTGCTTTTCATTGCTATTCATTGCTACAGGCCTCACACGCAAAACATCCTTCGCACGCTCTCTCCCAATTCACCACCACCTCCTCGCCGTCAACTTCCGCCTGTACTGCCTCGTCAGCCACCCGTCGCCATGGCCGTCACAGTCGCCAACCCGCCGCTCCCGGCGCCCGCGACGACGACGACGGCCCTGGCCTCCGGACCTCACGTCCACGCCCACGCCCACGCCCAGTCCGACCCCCGCGACGCCGCCGCCGGGGGCCCCGCGTCCCTGCCGCCGACGCGCAAGTTTGAGCCCAGCAACTTCAGGCTCATCCGGACACTCGGCACAGGTCCGTCTCCCATTTTGCTTGCTGATGTCGGTCTGAAGCCACGATTGAACTCTTGGAACCGCAGGAACCTTTGCCCGCGTATGCCTCGTCCGCCCGGCCTCGGCAACCACCACCCTCGACCAAGACCCCAACGCCCAGGTATACGCCCTCAAGATCCTGCACAAGGCCGACGTCGTCAAGCTCAAGCAGGTCGACCACGTCCGCCACGAGCGCGCCGTCCTCGCCGACGTCGCCGGCCACCCCTTCATCACGCACCTGCTCGCCTCCTTCTCCGACCGCGACTCGCTCTACATGCTGCTCGACTACGTCCCCGGCGGCGAGCTCTTCAGCTACCTGCGCAAGCTGCGCCGCTTCGACGAGCACGTCGCCCGCTTCTACGCCGCCGAGATTGTCCTGGTCCTCGAGTACCTCCACGAGCACCAGGACGGCGTTGCCTATCGCGACCTCAAGCCCGAGAACCTCCTCCTCGACAAGGATGGCCACATCAAGCTCGTCGACTTTGGCTTCGCAAAGAGGCTCGGCAAGCGCGACAACCACCCCGTCGAGACGTATACCCTCTGCGGCACCCCAGAGTATCTCGCCCCCGAGGTCATCCACAACAAGGGCCACACCACGGCCGTCGACTGGTGGGCCCTCGGCATCCTCGTCTACGAGTTTCTCACGGGCTACCCGCCCTTTTGGCACCAGAACCCCATTGAGATCTACCGGCAGTGCGTATCCCCCAGTCCTACCCCCAGTCCTACCCCCCTCTCCTGCAGCCCAGCGGCCGCTGACGCCAAGAGGCAGAATCGTCGAGAAACCCGTCACCTTCCCCAACGACCCCCCCATATCCGACGACGCAAAGAGCCTCGTCCGCTCCCTCTGCACCGCCGACCGCTCCCGCCGCCTCGGCAACATCAGCGGCGGCGCCGCCCGCGTAAAGGCCCACCCCTTCTTCCGCCACGTCGACTGGGACGACCTCGTCCGCCGCCGCCGCCCCGGCCCCATCGTGCCCCCCGTCCGCTACCCCGGCGACGCCCAGTGCTTCGACACGTATCCCGAGGACGAGGGCGGCCGCAGCGACTACACGCCCGCCATGGCCCAGCAGTACGATGACTGCTTTCGAGACTTTTGACCTATCTACCAACCTATCCATCTTGTCTCTTTCCCCCCCGTCCCTGTCCCATCTCAAACCACCACATCTTGCCCACCTACTCCATGAATCTTCGTATAAATTGTGTCCGGCGTTAGAGGTGCCAGCCAAGTCTATTTGTGTGTTTTTTGTTCTCTTTTTTTGGTGGCAGAGAAAGAGAAGCTCGGGCCTGGAAATGCCACTCTCCACGTCGGCGAGCGGGACACGCACGGTCACACGCCGACGCTGATGGCTCGTGCCCGTGTGTGGCGGTCAAGGTCTGTCGGCTCTGTATTATTCGTCTTGTCTATCGCGAGACGCAACTTGTAGATGCCAAATGAAATTGCGCGCCAAACGCCTCGTCATTCGTGCACCACCAAGAATCCTCTTCCTGCTCCTCTCTGGGCAAGGTGACAACCCGCTAACAGAGAAAATAAAGTCCACCATGTAGCCCGTCCAACTGTAGCTTGTCCGTTGAAGGACAAAGAAGAAGATCGAGCGGAGATAATTAAGCAATGAAAGTCACGCCTTGTCTCGTAATGCCCTACCTCTATCAAGATATCTCCCCAACCTTCCAACAGGGCGGCAAAGTCAACCGAGTGCTCCGGTGCTCTGACGCCTTTTATGTCTGTCCATGTATGTGCGCGTTGAGAAGCAAAGAACAGCCAAGAAACCTCATCCCGCTTACCGGCCTCTGGCGTCGCAAGCCGGCCCTCTCCACACAAGTCGGAGAGAATACTCCCGCGTCAACCCGTCTATTTGGCCGTCTGATAATACCAGTACCCACCCAGACCAGCCAAGAGCAACGTCGCCAGGATCCACGCTCCCTCCTTGGTGCTCCAGAGGAACATACTCCACCCCACGAGCTGCTCCTTTTGGCGGGCAGCCTTGCGTCGCTCCCAGGCCTCAGGGTCGATTTCCACCGGCAGCCGGAGGCGGGGGTCCGTTGCGGCATCGGTCTCGTTGCTCTGCAGTGACGCCGGGGGTGCCAGATCGCCGGGCGAGATCAAGGGGACATCGACGCGCAAGAAGACGGGCCGGTGGTCGCTGGTCCGCACCACGGGCATGGCGTCGTAGGCGCGCACGTTGACGCGTGGGGCGTCGCCGTGTGACCCGACCCACGTGGGCACGTCGAGGTAGAGTATCCTGTCTGTCCAGCTCGGATATCGATGCGGTGCAAACTTCCACCGCACCTCCGTCTCCTCGGCGTCCTTTGTCTGCCCGCCGACCGGCGGCCGCGCAATGTACTTGTACGTCGGCGGGAAGCGCACCTCGTGTTCCGTCAGGCCATGCAGTGTTCTCCCCGCAGCTCGCTCCCGCGTCAGCTGGTCTAAGGGAAAGAAGTTCGGGTAGTGGTGCTCGGATTCCGGATCGAGGCTCGGGAAGGCAGCGTTGGGAGGCGGTGAAGTGGTCGAGATGCGGTAGTTGAGGTCGCCGGCGACAAAGAGGTGTGAGGATGACTTAAAGACGGAAATGTCGTGGAGCTGCCGCCGCAACTCGAGGTGCTGTTTGTGGTGCTCGTCCTGCAGCAGGTGGTGTCGCTCCTGGGCGGCATCGCCCTCGGAGCTCTCTGGCGTTGACGCTCCCTCGCTGCTCCGCACCTTGTCGAGCACCTCCTCGGGGTTCTCAAAGGTCAGGCCACGCATGATGGCCGCCCAGTTGGCATTGCGCCGCGGCAGATTCCACTCCATGGCGGCCAGGTGCGTCGCCACAAAGGTCAGCTCCGTCGACCGCTCTCCGTCGCCCACTTGATACAGTGCTCTCAGCCCCACGGCGCCCTTGTTCCCCATGTCGGCCGCCCCGAAGCCCACCTCGGCTTCTCTGAGGTCTCGTAGGCGCGCAGGGTCTTTGGCAAAGAGCATAATGGCCGTGTAACCGACGTTGTGTGCCTTGATCAGCTTGTACTGTCGGTCGCTCCCAGTCTCGTCCGCCAGCGGAACCGACACCGTGTCACGTCCATCGCGCGCGTCGCCGTGCCGTATCGCGGCGAGGTTGACGGCCTCGTCGAAGCGCGCAAAGTAGGGGTTGAGGAAGTAGTCGCCGATAAAGGCCTGGCTTAGCGGCGCGATCTCCTGCAGAGAGCTTTTGAGACGCAGCGATTGCTTGATTAGCGAATCTGAGAAAGGAGGGCCCTCGGGTCGGTGAGTGAGAACGGGGACGGCCCTTCTTACAGGACGACGAGGTCGGGCAGTCCCGTTGCGTTCTGCGCAAATGCCGACTGCAGGTGGGAGGCAAAGATGCCGGGGCTGATGAGGTTTTTGGCACAATTGAACGTCAGTACCAGCAGGTCAAGCGTCGAGGGAGCCATGATTGATCTGTTGCGGTCGACGCTCGTCGACATTGCCATCTGGAGGTGCAATGCCGATCCCATCTCCTCGAACGGGCGGCGTGGTGCTGGTGCTTGGTGCTGGTGCTCGGTGCTTCTCCGTGCCTCGGAAGAGGGGGGGCTGGCAAGTACAGGCGGGCCCAGGCGCTATCCGTCGGTACCTGAGGATACTTAATCGGGCATGCATACATAACGCCAAAAGTCAGATATTCATTGCTTGCTCCCCGCCTTCAAGATATATATATATAAACGGAGTATACGCCCTCGTTATCCGTCTGTGCGCAAGAATACGACCTGTATGCCATCACCGTGCGCTTCTGACCAGGGCCGTCATCTGCTTCGCATGCTGCCTCGCTGATGCCCCTTCCCACGGGCCCGCCTACAATCCTAGTGCGACCGCCACGCTCACGCGACCGAGCTCGCCTACGTAGCTTAGCGCAGTCAATACCGCCTCGGAGCACCTTCAAATCGGACATCACCTCCGGCGAAATCACTGGGACATGACTTCGTCAACGCGCATTCGCCAAACAATTTTTAAAATAAACGAAGACTACCTAGCGTGTGCTGCGTGACTGGCCTGTCAAATCCCAGCTTGAGACGTCTACACCCGTTGCCGAGCATGAACAACCGCCGCCAAAGCCTCGATGCCAAAGTCCCGATTATTGGTGCCCCGACGGCGGGAAGGGCGCATCGTGTTGAAATGGGAAACGCGAGACCGTACGGGCTACCCATGGTATGCGGAACAATCTCAAGCCCCAAGGTACCCCAGTTTGCGGTAGTGTTGAATGTCATGCCCACCTCCAGATCCCCATGCCTCACCGAGACCACGCATATCGTTGGCCCAAGATCACCGTGCGCGATTAGCTTGGCTCATGTGACGTCGAGGGCAGATGACGAGAGTTGATAGGTTGCCACGTCCATGTCCATTAGCGCCTCGGGAACACGGCTTTCCAGGCGCCTAAGCAGGCCCCTCTACCCCTGATACCTCCCCAGAAGCCGTTCCTGGCGACCCCAGATCAAAAGCAGAACCCGAATGTTGTGAGCGTCAATTTGCGTTATTAGTGATCAAAGGAAAAAAGGAAATGCCTGCTCAGGGAACGCAGCTGTACCGCAACGACTGGCACAAAGTCCCGAAAGTATAGAGTCGAGCTGACTTCCGGGCTTGCGTACATCAAGGCTCTCGCATTCGAGGGAGCTCCCGTGAGCCCCGAGAGGGTGGGGCCGGCTCAGATCCGGGACTCGCCTCCAACTCGTGGATGATGCAATGGTCAAACTAGGCAAATCACCGGACATGCCTTTCAGATGCGTGTCGAAAGGAGAGAAGCCACAGGCGGGACAGGTAAGCCTGCCGCTGCCGAGACCTCGCCACCATTCGGAGTCATCCGAGCCATGCGTTCAAGAGAGCCATAAGATGCGTCCAACGTCGAAGAACGAGATAAAGCAGTGCGTATGAAAATAGAGAGGAAACGGTCGTGGCCGCAACGAGAGCCTGTGAAATGGCCAGCGCCTGAGAAGAAAGACAGAGGAGCAGGCGCTCAAGTTGCCGCCAAGCTTGCCAATTTCGGGCGTGAACAAGGAACTTCGATCAAGCGGAGGGGTTGCCCCGACTGTCGGCCGCCATTTCGCTCCAAGTCTCGCAGGTGGAGGGCAGGGCCGATTTCGCAAAATCATGTGGGTCGGTAGCTGCCAGAGGCGTAGTTGGCTCCCTTTGAAGCGGAGCGCAGCCTATTACCGTCCACTGAGTCAGCCGCGGTTGTCAGCAAATTCGACCCTCGGCCAACGGAATGGGCACACTGAACGCGCGGAGGAAAAAGACTCCTTACAAGGAACGGTTCGTTTGGGCTTGTCAGACACTCACATCCTGTCGCTACCGCCAATGGCACGGTTGGTATCCGGAGTGTCCACGCCGGCGCCAGATCCACGCTCGAGCATCTTGCGACGAGAGCTGGGGATGGCGTTGGGCTTGGAGACACCAGCCTGGCCGGACGCAGCGGCGTTGGCGCGCGAGGCACGGGCCTTTTCCTCATCCTCGGGGTTGGCCTGGCCAGCGGCCTGAGCAATGGCTTGGGCGTTCTTCTGGTATTTGTACACGGTCCAGTCAAAGACGTAATCGTACTGGAAGCCCTCACGGACAAAGAGGTCGCGGAAGATTTTGCGCAGGTAGCTGTAGTCGGGTTTGTCATCAAAGCGGAGGGACCGAGTGTAGTTTAGGTAGATGGCGAACTCGTTGGGGAAGCCGCGGCAGAGAACCTCGGTGGGCGTCGTCATCTTCTTCTCCATGATGCGATCATACTTCTGCTTCTTGGTGGCAGCCTTGAGGCCCTGCCACGGCAGAGAGCCGCGACAAAAGTACAGCATGACGTAGCCGAGAGACTCCATGTCGTCGCGACGAGACTGCTCAACGCCGAGATGGGTGTTGATGGAGGCATAGCGGGCCGTTCCCGTCAAGTTCTTGTTCTCGCGGTACGGGATGTGGAAGTGAGTCTTCGGGTCGCGGTACTTTTTGGCGAGACCAAAGTCGATGACGTTGACCTGATTGCCGCGCTTGCCGATGCCCATGAGGAAGTTGTCGGGCTTGATGTCACGGTGGATGAACGACTTCGCATGGATGTACTCGATGCGGGAGATGAGTTGATCTGCGAGCAGGAGAACCGTTTTGAGGGAGAATTTGCGGTTGCAGAAGTTGAAGAGGTCCTCCAGACTGGGGCCGAGGAGGTCGAGGACCATGGCGTTGTAATCACACTCGGTGCCGAACCAGCGGACAAAGGGAATGCCGACGCCGCCAGCAAGCGACTTGTAGACGCGAGCCTCATACTCGAGCTGGGGGTGCTTGGCCTTGACCGACTCGAGCTTGATGGCAATTTCCTCGCCGGAGATGATGTTTGTTCCGAGGTAAATGTCGCCGAAAGAGCCGGAGCCAATCTTTCGGCCGATACGGTACTTGTTGCCGACACGAAGATCCTAATCACCCAGTCAGTCAAAGTGTTCTCCCAGACTGGCTCACGCAAGCCAGTTTCGCCATGTGCTGCTGTCCTATTTTTCGAGCAAGTCGAGCAATACGAGTCCAAGCCCGTGATGAGCAGCAATCTCGGGATTGTAGCTTTGTCTTGCCCAGGTCTCGGCCCCTCGCCACCTCTTCCCAGTGTCTCCAGGGACTGAAGGGTGGATATGCGGGCAATGGAAATGCATCTTTAAGGTCGGCAGGGCTTACCATGGTGGTCATCTTGACGATGGATTACGAGTGCACGATTGCACTCAAGTGGGCTGGATACCGCAGCGGAGGATGTGTAAGGGCGAACTGGACAATCGTCTAGACGTTCCGAGGTCAGCGACGAGCGGCAAAAGCCAGTGATTCTGATAGTGACGTGTTGCAGAAGAGTGTGGAGAGGGGAGGAGGGAGTGCATGAGTGTTGAATGTGGAGAGTGCGCAGGCTTTGCAGGGCAGTAACGCCACCGGGCCAAGTTCGGAGCAAATCAATGGTTGTGCCAATAGTGGCCGATCAGGCGTTTGAGTTGCGGGAGACTGCCCACTGGCGAAGAGGGCGTCAAATAGCCAAAGCCGCCATTTATTCGTTTTTTGCTCGCAGGGGGTGCCCCAGAGGCGTGCATGGCACGATGGTGCAGGTGATTATGGCAGTCGGCCGCTTACCTGCAACTGAGCGGATTCAGGGCCCGGAGAGGCGGTCAAGGAAGTAGGAGGCGTGCAAAGCCTCCAAGGTGGCAGGCGGGTAGGAGGATGGCGGTGACGAGGCCAGGCGCCGTCACTGCTAGGTCGAAGCTTGTTGGGGAAGTCGACGCGCGGGTGAGCCGTCGACGGAGTCTTTGTCGGTTGCCGCCGCCTCGTTGGGTGGACGCGTCAATCAAAACGACGCAATCGGATTCCCGACAGAAGGGAAGAAAAAAAGGTTCTGTCGGAGCCGATCTCGACGAGAGGATGTGGTGGTGGCGGAGAGGTGGAGGTGTGGAAGAGAGCAGGAGAGGTAGAGGGTGGAAAAGGTGGAAAAGAGAAGAGGGATGGAGTGGTGGGAGGGGGGCGGGTGTTGGAGAGAGGGAAAGAGGGCGAGGGAGGAAGGGAGGGAGAAAAGCGAAAAGGGAGAGCGGGGGGGCCGAAGGAGACGAGGTACCTTTTTGGGCTGTCAGTCAGTCAACCGAGTACCACTCGGACATGAGGCGAGAGGCAAGGGAACCTGAAGCTCGGGCCGGGGAGGAAAAAGGAATTTCAGCCCAGAGCGCTTGGGGGGCTGGGCTGAGGCAGACAGGCGACTCTGGCAGCGAGCGCTTCGCCCGAGATACCTGGAGCACTATTGCCGGGCAGAGGTGGTACCTGGCCCGGGGCGCCTTGGCCCGCAGCCTCCGGGGTACCTGCCGACGGCCCAACCGCCTGCGAGCACAGGGCGCGCGCGGTCAACAAAGCGACGGGCGGGATCCAATCGACCTGATGCCTTAGCTTTGCGGCAAGTCCAAGGCGCCTTTGCACCGAGTTGCCTTTCCAATGATGACCCGAAGGCTCTGCCGTGCCGATGCACCGAAGCACCCCCACCAGCCTTGGCACATTGGAGGAGGCACTGTCAAGCGGCGGCGGTCAGAGTTGGGTTCCGGCAAGCAGTGGAGGCTCTGTGCACTGTCCTGGGCCCAACGTGTTTGCGTAGGCAGGCGCCTAAAGATACCCGACGTGGATTGTCGGCGGCGGGTACGAGCCCCTGTACGGAGGAGGAATATTGATCATGTCCAAGGCTTCATGCCCTGACTCTGCCCAGCCCAAGCAGCCACTCGTGGCGAATGAGTTGGATGGATGCCAAGTGCACCCTGTCAGGACGATTGCTGGTCATCGACAAGCAACGCTGCTCTTGATTGTCTCTTCGATTTGCGGCCCTGCAATTCACGTTGACTTGCACGGCGTGAGGCGGGAGCAAAGAGGCCCGACGCATATGCCGCCGAGTCAGCAGCCGTGATTGGAGGTGCAGCGTAATGTATTAGTCGAATGAAAAGGCCCATGACGTCCGTTAGAGTTTGAGTGGTTCGCGAACCTGACCTGACGGCTTGGCTTGTTTGCCACCTCATCACCCTCCCGGGGTCGCCGCCTTGACGACGAAGCGTTGAGGCGAAACTCTGGCACACGGAACGGGTCCTGATATTAATAAAGCCTCCTTGACCTGACGTGCAGTGGGTACAAGCATGTGGTGCGGCGGGCAGGCAAGGTCCCTGGTTGACAGAGGATGGAGCGCGGCTGTGCCTTGCAGGGCATTCTTTTGCGTGTTTATCGCCTTTCATCCACCATCCATGGGCTGGCACGCCGGGGAAATTCCCCTTGTCGGTTGCCCTGCAGGCATGAAACGCGGCATTGTCACGGGGAATTGAGAGGTGAATCAAGCACGAGCCTGGACCCTCTATTATCTTGACGGCAGACCTCACCACAGCCCAACCTGAGCCGCAATTTCTGCTCGCACACAGCTTTCAACAGTGACGCCTGTTCCCCCCTCTTCTTTGTCCTCGTGCTCTTGGTGGTGGGCACGCTTCCAGCCCGATTCAGTGCACCCTTTGCTCCGTTGATGGGTGCTTTACTACTAATTTGACACTAAACATATCCAATCCTCCGCATTAGCCCCCCAAATATAAGCATACAGTTGCGTAGGTAATTACAGACATCAACAGGCTCAAAACTCGAGCTAGCTTGCGCATGCTGTCGGTAAAGTGCTGCTGGGTAAAGCTAGCCGGCTCTTTGTAGTGCTTTGGGGCCAAGTCATCATCGAAATCGCAATCATCCTGCCGAGACAGCTGACGCCGCGAGGTCCTAGCGGCAATTTCCAGATACCTCTTGCGGCCATGTCCTTGCTCCCCAATACAAACCAGGCCTCCGCCATACTTGAGCAAGAGGGCATTCAGAACCAGACGGCAGACTCGGCCGTTTGCCGTCAAGAAATTGGTGGATGTTGACAAAGGCATGGCAGTATTTGACGGAGAATGCGACCGGGTCAACTTCGCCCGACTTGTTGACTTGGTCGACGTCCCCGATGGGTGGCGGCAATCATTTCTCCCATGGCTGGGGGGACAATTGTCGAGTCTGTAAACGAGTTGAGTCCAGCGCAGACATCTTCACGGCGGTAGACGCCGCTGTATTCCGTCCAGCTCATGCCCTGCTCCGTATCGACCCTGTGGGCAAGAAGCCGGTGGGTTTCAAGGATGATGTCTTCGGTGAGATGCTTGCCACCGATATAGACCTCTGTGAGGATGTAGCTAGCCGCCTTCGCGTGTTGCACGATTTCGCGGCGACTCCGGAGGATAGAATGAGTTCCGGCGGGCAGATTGTTGGCCTAAGAGGGCCTGTTCGGTGGCCGCACACTGGGGATCCCTCTCGCCTATATCCTCGGGGATCTCCTGGCCCCGAAAGATGGGCTGACAGAGTTTGAGGGTAACGTCCCAGCCAGCTCCTGCACCTTCAAATCATGTTGGAGACCAACTTGGCCATGGCGTTTACTTACTAGATGCGTTTCCACGGCTGATGCTTGAGAAGACGACAGGGTCCGGATCAAGTCGCAAATCTCGGTCGTGCATCTCGCCAGCTGCTGGAGAATCTTGTCAAGCGTTGTTGCGAGCAAGCCACGTGCCCACACGTGGCGCTTGCAAGTGACCGCTAGTCTCCTTGGATTGACTGATGTGATGATTGTTTGTCTCTTTGGGTGTCGTCAGGCCATCACCGTTTAACCGTTGGTCACTGAACCCGCTAATAAGCTCCGCTCTGGTCAGCGGCTGCTTATGTAGTTAAGTTATAGCCTTGACGCGAAGGGCAAGAAAATCGCCTCAAGACTGTAAGAGTTACGATATACTGCTTACAGTAATTAATGACTGGCTTTGTCGTAAGTAGGTAGGCACCTCTCTTTCATTCATGCGCTTCTCGCAGCTTGAGTCTGATTCGTGGGCATCCTTGCAAGTGACCCAAGGCTGGCCTCACGACACCCTAAAGGACACGGGCAAGAAAGACAGACGGCGCTTCTTTCCCTTTGCGACTTCATCCAATCGATGGGCACGCGGGGGAGATTCCCCTCGTCGGTTCGGATGACAGATGCAACGGCCGTGACACGACCAAACACTACAGGTGGTGAGGGTCCTTTACCGGCAGGATGCAGCAGCTGGTGATGTCCTCCCTGTGGGCTGTAGGTACTCGGTACAGTAGGACCAAGTATCCCGCCAAAAGAAAGGTCCTCCCTCTGTACTGTAGGTACTGTATAAGTTAGGTAGGTAGGTAAATTAGGCAGCCTGCAGACTTGGCGCTGTCTCGGATCAGCACCAAGAGTACTCGTATGCACCAAGTATTCTCTCTCTCTCTCATCGGGCACCAACAGTTGCTCCACGGCCACGATGCTCGTCCCTTGATTCATGCAAATGGTCATGATTGATGGCCCGCCCATCAATCATGGCAGGGCGCAAGCCGTTTAGAGTGTCGCTGCACAACGGTCGTGAGGAGGAGGGAGGCAGATGCTCAATGGAGGTACCTACATCTATGCATCAATCGGATGGGCGGGGCATCAGTCAATCGGATGGGCGAGGGGCATCAATCGGATGGCCGAGGGGCCGGTTTCCTCTGCTGCTCCTTTTCCTCCTCCTTCATCCACCATCCGCCGAGCCAATGCCTTGATCCGCGCGCCATCTGCGTCTCGACCGTCATCCCATGTCGGCCCCGTCCTTTGCCTCGGGGGCCGTGCGACGCCTACGCCCTACCGGCGATGCATGTGGATGGTTGGCCATCATGACAAGAACCTCCTCATCTCAACAAAGGATGAAACCTTGTTAATACCTCATCTCGCCTCCCATCCGTCACCTTCCATGTTGCACTCGCTTTGCGGCTGAAGTCCCGTCGTCTTGCTCCGGCAACCGGGCACTTTTGTTCGTTTGCCTCTCCGACCCAACAATCTCACCCTCCGCCTTGGTATTGGCTGGCAGGTTTGCTTATCCCGCTGGCAAACAAGGTCTCACGCCCCTTGAGCGACATGTATCCTCGACACAGGCGGTGAGCCCGACTTTCTCGACGCCGTCTGACGCCTTCATGTCGTCGCCCGTGTCACGTCCGCTGACGACTTGCGGATACGCCGCCACGCGATGCACCTTCGGCCAAGGCATCCTGTACCGCATGACCCTCTCGCCCACTGGTTTGCCTTCCACAGGCAGCTCTCCGTGGGTGCCTGGAAATGGCGCACCAATTCCAGCCAGCCACATACTGTACACTTGACGTCGTTACTTTGCACACATTTCAGCTCGTAAGCCATTGGTGTTGTGTTTCTCACCATTCGTTGCTTTGTACATGCAAGGGGACGTGCAAACATGTCCAAATGCTCAGCTTTCTGAGCCAACAACGCTAAACGCCTCGACCGCATCTCCCTGTCCGCCCCCCTCCCCCCCTCCCTGTCCCCCTTCAGCATCCCCGGCTGCTATGCATATCTGTAGCTTCCACCGCCCCACGATCCGCCCCGGTACCCTCCGTGCCCCGGCGCCGGCGCCGGCATGTGCGAGCCGGGTGGAGGGCCGTACGCAGGTCGGTGAGGAGGTCCCTGCGGCCCCTGCAGCACCTCGTCCAGCTTGCTCTCTAGCATCTGGCTCGTCTTGTCTAGCCATCTCCGCGCCGACGAGCTGCTGAACATGCTGCTCGACGAGGTGCGCGGCCGGCCGGCAGGGAGCGGCGGCGGCGTGTACAGCGTCTTGGGCGGCGGCGGGTACGGCATGGCGTTGCGCGGGTCGGACCCGAAGCCCGGGGCGAACAGTCCAGGGGCCGATCGGGGGGGTAGCGGCGGTGGGTATATCGCGAGACGAGGCGGAGCAGGGCCATCCGGAAAGGCATACGTCGGTTGAGGTGGGTAGTAGGGGCCGGGATACGAGAAGCCGGGTGGGTGAGGCGGTGGCACGTACTGGGGCCCCGGATAAGAAGCATTCGTGCATGAATACAGCGGTGACGGGCTGTGGCTGTGGCTGTAGCTGTAGCTGTACATGTGCGGTGACGGCGTCGTCGTCGTCGGCTCGGGCGTCGTAGCGTGGTAAGCTTGCGGTCCCGGTAGCTGCGGAACCGCCTGCCCCGGCGAGGGATACGGCGAGAGGCCAACCGAAGCAGGGGAAGGCAGCGGCGGCGGCGCGGCGTAGGTCGGCTGCGGCATGCCGTACACGGGGACACTCGCGGCGAGGGGCTGAGTGGGATAGCCCTGCAGCGGCGGAGAGACGGGCGTCGCGGCGGGATCCGACGTGAGATGCGTGCCCATGGAGGCCGAGGAGAGGCGTTGAGGACGACCTGCCGACGGGGCCGGGGCAGCGGGACGCGAGGGAAACCCGGTGGTCCACTCGGCAGCGCCGTCGAGGTATGGCTTGGCCGAGACCAGACTCGGCGGACAAGAGGAGACGACGGGCCGTGGCGCCGGCGCGCAAACCCGGCCACGGCCAGAGCCAGAGCCCCGGCCTTCGTCGTCCCCCCGCGGCCGAAACGCAAGCGTCGCCGTCGCCGCGCCGGCACCGGGGGGCGACCCGGCAACGGCCGCCGCCGCGTCGCCGAGAGGCCGAGGCGAGCACGGCGGCGTGTAGGAGGCGCCCGCCGGCGAGGGGTGGTGGTGCCGGGTCGTCGCCGGTGCTTCCGGGACGGGTTTCTGGACCGCTGGTCGTGGCTGGGCACTTGGCGCCTCTTGTGTTGCTGCTGCTGCTGCTGCTGCTGCTCCTGTGCCTGCCGCGGGCCAAGGCGCCGGCGCAGAGGTGGCCCGAGACGTGCGCGCGCGCGGGTAGACGGTTGCGCTGAGCCCGTCGTCATCCTCCTCGGACGGTCCATGATACGGCCACGGATTCGCCATCTCCGCCACCGGTGCCTCTTCATCTTCATCTTCCTCTCCTCTTCCCTTGCCTCTTCCCCCCACTGTCCTCTCCCCCCCCGGCTTGGCCTCGCCACCGCCCACCACCACCTCCCTCTTCTCTCCCAAGTCGCAGGATCCAAGGACATCCCGCGGCGGCCCCGGCTCCTCGCCGCCAGAACAAGAAGCTCTCAAGGGCGCCAAGCCGTCGTCGCAACAAGCCCCGACGCTGCTCCCCCGCAGCGGCGGCGCAGCCTCCAGCTCGGCAACAGGGACGAGCGTCTGCGGCGAGGCAGCGGCGCCACGTTGCGCCATCGACGGCGGCGTCGCCATGCTCGGAGAGAAAAGGCGGCGTTTGCCTCGCGCCTCGGGAGGGCGGCCCTGCCTGCTTGGTGGGTTTTCGCGGGAGGTGTTGTTTTGCTCGCGGCCCGCCTCGGGGGTTTTGCTGCGAAGCGACGGACAGCCGGGGGGGGGGCACGGCAAGGATATCGAGAAGCACAGGGGACGAGGGGGCCAAGGGGGGGAAGAGAGAAGCGCCGGTGGGCAGAGAGGGAGGTTGGGTGGGGGTTGAGTTCGCCCGATACGAGTGACCCCTTGCAGTTGCAGCAGACCCTCTTGTCTGTAGGCACCGCACTTGGTACTTTAGCAAAGATTATAAGAGCGTCCAGTTACCGCCAAGTAGGGCAGGCAAGGCAAGACAGATGACGAGAGAAAGAGAGAGCCCAAGTCGATTCAACCCAGCACCATCGTCCTTCCCCCCCTGACATTGGAGGGTCCGAGGCCGTAGGGCTGAACCTCGCGCACCTTTGAAAGCCAATCCTCGCCGTAATCTCCATGTTGCTCTATGTACTACTTCGCGGACGCCAAGCACTCGCTCCTAATACGTCTTCGTTAGCGGTGCGTATATATATACATACACCTGAACACTACTGTTCAGTCTGTTGCTGTGCACGTCAACTCCAAAGCTCCAAAACAACACGGACCCAAGGACAACCCATCCTACCTATTCTACCCCAGGTGCTGTCACTGCTTGCTCCCCCCTCCCCCCACGGGGGTTTCAAACCCCCAACCAACGAACCTAGACAGCCCAGCCCGGGGTCGAACCCCCCCCCCCCATGCACTCTGCGCCGATGGCGTGCCGGCGAACAATGCCCGTAACCGCAAGCATGGGTTCTTTATTTACCACCCTGCGGTACCTGGACACAAGGCCCTTGGCTTTTTCACAGTAGATCCATGCTCCCGGCTTCCCCCCCCCACCATCCCCCCGTACCGGCCCGGGCCCCGGCCCCCGGCCCCCGGCTCGACCGCCAAGCTGGTGGACCCTGGTTTCATTCCTCTCCCTGCCCCTGATAACTTAGATGATAGATCCTGTAACCCTACCACCCATCATTAGCCTCCCGCTTTCGTCTCCGCAACATGTGAACCAACCCGCCTCCGTAAGTCCCTACTTTAAATCAAACAAGTCATTCAACTCACCCCGGCCCAGGCAAGCGCCAATTTCGACGAAACCCTTGGATCACAGACATCGGCTATTGTAAGCATTGTCATGCCTCTCAAAGTAAAAGTCGGCCGAGTTTTAAGCCGAGGACGAATAAAAGGCACCGGGCGAGAGAGTATAGAGCTCGTACTTCATTCATTCTCAAAATTCACTCCCCTGCTTCGCATCACCACTTCATCGTCTATTCAACGCCCATATGTACAATAGGCCCGTCTCTCATACCCAATTCTTCAACTAACAAGTCCCCCCCCCTCTCTCTACCGTAAGCGAAATGAAAAGAAAAAAAGGTCATTCCTCGCCAATCGACGGGCGTTCGAGGCCTTGGCCGACGAACAGATTTCATGTACTCGAGGCTCGCGGCGGATGCCTGGGGAATATACGTGGTGAAGAGAAAAAGACGCAGCAGGCGGGCCAACAAGTCTTGGCCCTCAGTCATCGCTCTCTTCACCTCGCTTCCTCCGATCGTTCCACTTTCGCTTCCCGGCTCGCGTTTCGTAGTAGGGCGCAACGGCCGCCACGTCCTGCATGGTGCCTTCGATGGCCGCCCGCGTCTTGTTGCGGTAGCAGTCCACTAGAGCACATGGTTAGCATCTCTCATGCTTTTTGGACTGTCTGGGGCTGTCCTTGGGGCACCTACGGGCTCGTTGAAGAAATACCGTCCTTCCGGCAAACACCCGGCTCTGAAGCCACGCCATTCGGTAGGCCAGGTCGTTGAGTCTGACCTCCTTCCCTCTCCGCGAGTTCCTCGTTCTCGGAATGGTGGCTTCGCCGTCTTGTCCCTCGGCCATGGTGACTTTGACCACCTCTCCAATCGGCTTCGGTGCACGGTGGTGGCTGACATCCCGGCCCTCTGTCTCTTGGATCCCGTCGTCGGACAGGTCCTCGGCGAAGAACCGCGAGCCCGTGGCACTCGGGGGCGGGCTCTGCATCTCTCGCGGAAAGTAGCTGCGGGGGTACACGCTGGCCCCCTTCCGGAAGCTATCCGGGATTTCGTTGGTGTCGACGCCATCCAGCGTGACGCGGACACGGAGCCGCGAGCCACGCACGCTATCCTCAACGAGGATGAACTTGCGCTTCTTCGCCTCGGGAATGTCGGGGAACAGGCCGTCGGGCTCGTCGGCGTGAGATCGACTGTGGCTTCTCGCCGAGATTGCACCCCCCGCCCGAGGGGCCATATGAGACATCGGTCCCCCTTGGCCAGTAGGATAACCTGGACCGCCATACCCTGCGAAGACGTGGGCTTGTCTTACATCGTCACCACCTGGATGTCCCGGAGCAGTCGGAGCTTGATGATGGTGTTGTTCTTCGTACGAATTACCGGTACCTCAACAAACGCATTAGCCTGAGCGCTTCAGGAGAATGCGCGATGCAAGATTGTGTCGTGAGTACAGGGAGGGGATGGCAATGTCTTTGCAAAGCCAACAGGTGCCCGTTTACTTCCCAACGGGACCCACGACTTGGAAGAACAAACTATATCTGCCTTGAGATGCCAACTTCTTTACAGCCACACTTGGCAGACTGAGCTAGCAGAGGGAGAATGCCCAGAACCAAAACAAAGTGAAAACAAAGCAAAAAAGACTTGACAGCAGGCATCTTATGCGACTTTTTAGATAATGTACAGGACAGCGCGTGTAGCAACATGACGGGTATCTTCTCAAGACAGCGTCACCGCAAGCCCGTCGAGTCGTCGTAAAAGGGGTGGGTGTAAAGTTAGGGGACAGGAAGGGGGTTGGTGCCGCAAGTCGACTCAGACCCCGTACTATTTATAACAAAACTTGAGATGCCAGGGAGAAAAGGGTTGTGGCACATTCCCTTAGATGCCGCAAAGTGAACACAGACCGAGACAATGCAGGAAAACCAAGAGCACGCGCAGAAACCAGATGCAAGTTGCTTTTTGCGACTCAGGGGGGAGAGGTGAAGGAGTTGGTATCATCGAAGCAGCACGGGGCTACGTCCAAGACGAGCCCGTGCGCGGCAGTGCAATGAGGTGGTGCATCGAGATGGAAGCGAATCAAAGCAGCGCAAACGCAACAAGCGCAAAGACTCAAATCACATCTGGTGGAACATACCGACTTCGTCTCCTCCACCGGGGGCGCCTCCATCGGCGTGACCCCCGGCATGATGATGCATTGCTTGCCCCATGTTGCCCAGGCCCGGCTTCCCCATGGCCGGTGCGCCGCCCGGCCCCATGGGGCCACCGGCTGACAGCCCTGCCGGCCCGCCGGGGCCCGGCATATGGGCGGCGCCGGGGTGTGGCGTGGGCGTACCCTGGACGTGCTTGCGGTTATTCATCTTGGCCATGCGTCGAACTCGTCGGCTTCGAAGGCGGGGGTCCTGGTTGCTATTACGCCAGCTATCCACTGCCCTTTGAATCAGGCCGCGCTTGCCACGCAGTGGCGGGTTGAGTTGCGCCAGGGCCCACCCGACGCGGTTGCAGTCCGTCTCGTACATCAGACGATTGCCCCGGTACTGGTCCTTGGCGCAGCATGCTCGGGGATACACGCAGTTTTCTTGCTTGAACTCGGGCGAGAGCTCATCCGTGTTGACGGATTCGACATCGCAGCGGATGGTGTACTCCATCTTGACCCTGTCGCGAGAGTATTCAAAGGCGATCCACTGCACGCCGTTGCCGTCTTGTCGGACCACCAGCGGCGTCGTGGCCGGGATCGGCCCGGGAGCAGCGTTGGGGTTGATGCCCGCAGCCTGGTTGCCCGGGCTCTGGAGCGGGGGGGCGGTTTGTTGATGTTGTGTTTGCTGGAGTTGATGCTGTGTCTGCTGGATCGGAGAGGCCTGCGCCTGCTTCTGAAGCTGGACGGGAACCTGAGGCTCAATCTTGGGCCGCGGGCTCCCCGTCATGCCTGACTGCTGGGCGTGTTGTTGCGCCGCGTGATGGGTCATCTGATTCTGCGGCGCCGCGTGGGACATCATCATGTTGGGCTGCGACGTCATGGACGGTTGCGGATGGTGCGCATGCTGTGCGTACGGTGAGGCCGACGGGTGAGGCTGCATCGACTGATAGTGCGGCTGCGGCTGGTAATACATGGACTGCTGGAGGTGTTGGGACGGTGGCTGGCCGTATATGCTCCTGTGCTGGTCATGTTGCGAGGGCGACGCGACCGAGGCTGGCGAGTTCGACTGCGGCGTATGGTATGACATGGGAGGATAGGGGGGTCGAGGCATTTGTGCGGCGGCCATCATGTCGGATGTGTCTGAGTGGTCGCGACATCAGTACGGCACGCGCTCCGCGCCGAGCAACCTCGGTGGCCAGCTAGGGGACTCACCTGCGGATGTATATCCGCTGTTGGCACCTGGCGTGCTATACGGGCTTGGGTGGTTATAGTAGCCCAGGTTATCCTGGGTGTTGGCACCTTGGTTGGCGGCGGCCTGATAAGCTTGGGGGAGAGAGTGGGTCGACGAGTACGCGCTTTGGTGATGCTGAGCCTGCGATGACGGCTGCGGGTGCTGGTGCGGTTGCGCGTGGCCCTGCGCGTGGTGATGCTGCGGCTGCTGCTGATGCTGATGGACGATGCTCGGCGGTCGCGAATGGTGAAGGTGCTGCGAAGGCGGAGGACCCTGTTGCTGGTGGTGGGGATGATGCTGCATAGAGACCAGACGCATCAGTAAGACATGGGCATGAAAGAATGGGCTAGGACGGGCAAGGACAACAGTGTAGAAAGGTAGGGCGCGTTGGTTATATTTGCCCCCTGACGGGTGTCAAGGTCCGGGGAGCTCTGGTGGAGTGGGCTGCCCCCTGTGAAGAACTGGGATTGCACGGGTGAGGCGCGGCAGAACAGCCGCGCTGATGAAGCAACCCGGCTCTTGCTTACTACTTGTACAGCAAAGATGGGAGAAGAGGAGAAGGGGGTGGGGGGGAGGTTATACCGCGGTCTAAAGGCCGGAGGCGAGCAGGAGAGAGAGCGACGGGTTCGCCCAAATCCAATCAAGACCAGGCCGAATCCTCGTCGGCAGGTACGTGGAGACAAGCAGGGCAGGAGGAGGGATAAGGACAGGACAACGCTGTTCTGCGGTAGAAGGATGACGGGGTGGTGGCGCATGGGAAAAGAGCAGTGTAGGGGAACAAGTAATATTTGAACCAAAGTTATGGAGATGGGGGCGGGCGAGGTGGGATCTGGAGTGGGTATGCAATGAGCTGACAATGAATGTACTGCAGCATGTACCCGGTGGGTGTGTGGTTGGCGCTCAGGAACCCGGCCAAGCGCGCAAGATGACCGCCGATCGCGAGAGAGAAAGAGACTGTGGTCCCTAGCCAGTGTGTCGCCGAGGACTTCAGGACGAGACTCGAGTGCTGGAATCAAGACCGCTCGCGTCGTTGATGAACAAGCCATGAGCAAGGTCAGGCAAACTCGAGAGTTGGAGACCTTGATTCCACGTCTCTTTTTTCCACTCGGGCAGCTTGGGGGAATTCGATGACAAGGGGGGGGGTGGGTCGACAAGTGAGCTCGGGGAGCGACGGGGGTTCAATGAGTGGGAGGGTGGCGGGATGAGGGAAGAGGCCGGGGACGAGGCCAGCGCATGGGAGAAACGTGACAGGGGGTGCGAGTCTTTGATTAAACGACCAATGGACGAGTCGTCCGGGGAGTCAGGGAGCACTGTCCCTAGGGGCAGCTGCCCAATGGAGTATTGAAGGACCGGGGCTAGCCAACGGACCAGGATTCAGCCGGGATTGGGTCGCCCGTCGTTGGGCCACAAGCGGTGTGTGGATGGCTGTCGAGCAGCAAGGCAAAAAGGCGAGGCAAGCGAGCAGGTCATCTCCAACTAGAGACTGCGGCCGCCAGCCCTTCCCCTTAAGAGGTGGTGATGGGTGGGTGTGTGGGAAAAGAGGGAGCCGTGGGGTCCCCCTTGTCTTGGAGCGGCACGTCGACGAGAGTTCAACCGGGCAGCGGGTGGCTCCAGAAGAACGCGCTCAACGGCACGGGCTTCCAAGCATTGGTGACAACACTCGTTGCTCCTCTTCTCATGGGCAAACCCGTCTGCTTACTCCAGGAGCCACTTGGCTTGGACAAGACTGGCGACTGGGTACCTCTGGCGCAAGACAGTCATGAGTCGTAGCCGTCGGCCGTCTTCTCGGCCTGGCTCGCTCTTTTCGACAGCCACCGCTATTGTCCAGGGGACCCCACTGGGGGTCGGGGAACAGGCTGCGACTGGCTGACTGTGGCTTCGTAGCGCGTTGGGAACGAAGTGGCCATCTCGCCAATCTCCACCAGCTCTGGGTCTTTAGCGGAGCAGAATAAGCGCGCCCCCCCTCGGGGTACACTCCCACACGCCCTCACCCCCCATCACCCAGTCTGAGCGTTGCAGCTGCTCGCCGACGGAACTGGCGGCCCACTCCTCGTGGCTGCTTGCCTGGCGCACCATTGAGCCGACGACCAAAGAAGTCCAGAAAAAAGATTTGACAGCCTCACAGCCTGTGAGAACCGTCAGGCCGTTCCCGTTTCTCAGCGCGTGGAGCGTCGAGAGCCTGTGGCCCTGCCGATGACGCCGGAATGTGCGCAGGACTCTGCGCGGCCGCGTCGCACATTGCTGACGAAGTGGACAAACGAAGCTGATGCGAAGGCTGCAGCCTTCCGCCTCAGCCCTCTCCCGCTCTCTGCTCCTTGGAGGTCGACTTCCACGTATGTACCACGCCGGGACGACCCACGACCCCTGTCGTGTGCGGGCACCCTTAGTCTTTGGTGAAACAGGAGTCACCCTGCCAAGTCCCACAACTGAGTCTTGACCCACAACGGCTGCAGATTCCGCTGGAGCCTTGGTTCATGGTCCAACTCAATAGGGGTATCGCTTGGGACAATGACAAGGCATGGCATTGCTGACTGCAAGTGCCATCATGCGACACCGTCTTCGTTGTGCACGCGGTGCTTAGGCCACTCGGCCATTGGTCTCGACGAGTTCCTGATGCAAGAAAAGTATATGGACTCACGGAATCTGCGGCGGCTTCTTCTTTGAAGTGACCGCGGACCTGCCGGTGTGCGGCCATTGCTGCAGTCATGGGAGCGGCAATATGCAGTCAACAGTTCTGTGGCCTACACATTAGCATTTGTTCTGCCCTCCAGATGTGTGTGCGTGTGCTGGGCGGTATTCGAATCAGTGGGAATAGCAGAGGCTACCTACCTCTCAAACGGCCCGTTGGTCCAACCCGTTGAGTTTCTGGGGACTCTGTTTTTTCCTTTGTCTGACTCAAGCAGGAAGAACGAGACTCCGAGAGCCCCAATATTCAGTCGTGTCGAGTTTGGGCCCTGAATCGCAATTAGCTCACACTCGTAGCCGACCGATATATGGGGCGGAGCATGGTCGTTCATGCGGCGATGGCACTGAGCGCCAGCTGCTGCCCCACGTAGCAGGGTTGCGACTGAGAGGCTCGCCAGTTGGAACACAGGCAATACCGGTACGGCAAGCACAGACACGCCGCTTATCACGGGTTCCATCCATCGCGGGGAGATGACAGGATGGCAAGATTAAAAACAAAGGAGGGGGTGAGGGGGGTCTGCCGGCGCTTGCCCGATCCAGGGGACCACGTACCGGCACATGGACGGTCCCGTCCAAAAGGTGAGACGCTGTCGGATCGTGGAAACAGGCCCGGTCTCGTAGGAAATGGCAGGATTGACGAACGAGTCTCGTCACCTTATCCCACTCTCGCTCGAAGTTTCACCCAAGGACTATGCAAGTCGCTGACCTACAAGATGATCAGCGTCTCTGCCGTAACTTGGCCAGGCCGACGGCAAAGTTCCATGCCAAGTAAACTGGCCGGCGTACTTCGCAGATCGGTGCCAACGAACCCCAACTAGCCCGAGTGCATGTACAATTATCTGTGCAGAGCCTCAGTCTATGCAACATGGCAAGCGGGGGCTAAGCCGACACGATGCTGGGCGAATGGATGCATACCTGTGATTCGCGATACAACCTGCACAATGGCCGGGGGCGTGGTCGGGCTCGCGGGTGCTGGCTCTGTAAAGTTGAAGGGGAAAAAGTCAGTTCCGTCGTCGAAAAATAAAATAAAAACCCCCCGCGTGTGCGCGCGTCGGGGTGCAGCGTGGGTTGTGGCAGTTGCGTGCGCCGTGCTCTTCGACAGGGCCCGAGTACACAGGCGCTGCAGTGATGGACGGGGCAGTGTGCTCCGTGCATGTGTGTATGTACATGCGCCTCGCGTCGCCCCCCTCCCAAGAAGCTGGCCCCTTGCAAGCCCGGTCGACGGGGCGCGATTCCGAGAAGTCGGCTCGAGGAATCGACGCCGACGACAGGCTCCAGGGGTGGGGGACGCGGCGAGCATCCCGCAGTCGCAGCTGCAGGCGTCCTTGTGCAATGGAACCAACCACCGACACACCGAGTTGGTGGTGGGCCGGACGAGCTCAGAAAGACGAAGAAAAAAGGAACGTTGGCCGATGGTTGGCGGCGCTTGGGGAGCAGGACCGCAAGAGCTGGGTGAAAGGCCGTCTGCTTACCCAGATAGCTTGGCTTTGCAAGCCGTCGTCAATAAGGTTGAGTCCGTCCAGGTACAATGCGTCTCCTTGTCTTCACAAAAAGAGGGGGGCGACCGGTGGAACCGTCGAGCGTTAGGGGCTGTCAGCGGCTTTCGGTCAGCCACTAAACCCTGCCACCGGGGGTAGGCGGGTACGTACTCGGACGAGGACGCGAAAACGAAGTTGTTTGCACGCAAAACAGCGAGCAACGACGGACGACTCGAGGTGCGAACTCTCGTTATTGGGCGTGCAGGCGCGAATGCCGAGCGAGCTGGGCAGGCGGCCGTCGGTGGCAGAGTCGTGCAGGGTGCGGTGCTTTTGCGATGTCGGCGGGTGAAAGATGGGCTCGTTTTGGGTGGGTCCGGACAGCAGCGGCGCGACGGGCAAAGATGGACGGGCGGTTGTCGGTAGGCTCTGGGCAAAGAGCGGCGATCTTGGCAGACGAAGTCTGGACGACAGATGTCGGAAGAGGGTCGAGTGTGCAGTTGCAGAGTGGTGATGTGCAGCTCCTCTGCAGGGTCGTCCCTCGTCGAGCGGGTTGGACAGGGTCAGGCGGCAGCCCGGGCGTAGTTTGACAGGCAGACGCGCGCGCAGGGGGGGCAGACGGTCGACCGAAACCTAGGGACTCGACGACTTGATCCAGGGGGTCAGACACTTGTTTATTTTTTGGGGCGAGGGGGGGCCAGCCGTGCGACGACGACCGATGGGAAGCATGGAAGAGGGAGAAGGAAACGAGGGAAAAGGGCCTTGTTGTACCTGGTCTCGTAACCGGCCGGTTGGCTGCGTGAATGACGAGTGAATTTGGCCAAGGGGCCAGCGGTTCTCCGGGCTTTCGTATATTACGGGGCACACAGATCGGCTGCAAAATTTTCTGCTCGAGATGAGCTCCGGTACGAGCAGGAGGGAAAGGAGATTTGCAAGCCCTCCTGGGACCCGCATGCGCTGACGGTTTTTTTTGGCCACTTGCTGCGCCTGGCCAACGACTTTTCACCGCGCAAATATCAAACACCGACGGGCGGTCAGATGGGCAAAGGCGGCACGGTAGCCCAGGTACCCGACCTTTTGTACATGCACCCTCCCACTCCCCCAGAGCTCTGTACAGGTACCATCCAGCCCTGGTGGGCGGGC